CTTAGTAGGTAATTGATTCTTTAACATTACTCTTCTTCCACTGAGGGTTTCATGTTGAGTGTAAGGAATCTGAGCGAACTCTTAAAAGGCATTCTTGTCACTTCTCTTCCTCTGGATCATAGGCTCAGTATCTTCCTTGCCCAAACCTTCACTGTTGGTGTTGGGCTGGCCTTGAACTTGTGATATTCCTGCTCAGTCTCCTGAGTTACTGTCACTATAATTATGTATCACTGTACCCAGCTCTTTGTGGATTCTTTGGTATATTCAACATAAAAGACTGTAGTGTTTGTGAATAAGTTCAGTTTTACTTCTCTTTATAGGAGATTTTACATTTTGCAGATACAGATAAAACTACCCATGAAGGATTGGCACTGCTTAGGGCTTTCCTCCACAGGTCTTGGGAGCCCAAAACTGGAAGAACATTTGATTCTTCTAGCTGTTAATGTGTAGCAGAGGTATAACTCTTAATTTCTTTATTGGAGGAACTCAATTTCAAACTGGCCTTAACAGTGGAAGAATGGGAACACGTATTAGAGAAGGGTGGGCTTGGGCAGCCCTCTTGTACTCTCTAATGTGTATACTGTAATTTTTAACACTTGTACTTGATCTTGATTATGATTTAGTTGATCACTAGGGTTGTGAATCAATTGTAGACTTTATTTCAATAATTACATCATTTAGAAGTGGCATACATCTATAGTCTCAGCTACTCAGGAGGCTGAGGCAGGAATGCTTGAGCCCAGAAGTTCAAGGTCAGCCTGATAACACAGTGAGACTTCATCTCAAAATAAATGAAATCAAAATAATTTTTAGGGCTGGGGCTGTGGCTCAGCAGTAGAGCGCTCGCCTCGCACGTGCAAGACCCTGGGTTCGATCCTCAGCACCCCATACAAAAATAGACAAGTGAAATAAAGGTGTTGTGTCCAACTACAACTAAAAAATAAATATTAAAAAAATAATAATTTTTAATCCTTTTTTTTTTGGAAGCGCTTAGGATCAAATCAGGGGTCTTGTGTCTACTAGGGTCCTGAAGATGGAATCATTAAAGTAACTGATAGTGAGTAGGAAGATAATGTGGGTCAGCATTCATAAAGTAGGCCTCTAAAAATTTCCCCATCTTTTTCTGAAAACTATTATGGCAGGCAGACTTCTGAGATGCCACCCAAATATTTTCCACCTCCTGGTGTTGCTTCTAGGTCATCCCCTCCCCTGGAGTGTGAGCTAGGCCTGTTGATTTACATTTAACAAACAGAACACAGCTCAAGTGATGGGCTGCCCTTCCTGTGATGAGGCTACAAGACAATGTGAGACTTCCTGATCTTGCTAGCACCCTCTTGCTGACAGTCTCCTGCCTTCTCACTGTTCACTATGATGAAAGCTGCTATGGAGAAGCCTTTGTGCTAAGGAACTGGGGTCTCAGGCCAACAGCCTGAAGAGGAACTGAACCTAGGCAGCAACCACATGAGTGAATGAGGAAGTGAATCCTCAGTCAATCCTTGCAATGACTGTAGCCTTATGAAAGATTCTGACCTATAAAAGTACGGAATAATAAGTATTGTTTCCAGATACTTAAGTTTTGAGGAAACTGCTTGTTATACAGCAATATGAACACTTTATCTTCATAAACCTAGCATCTGTGTTTTTTTTAGGAAGTGGTGATTGAACTCAAGGGTACTGGACAACTGAGCCACATCCCCAGCCCTATTTTGTATTTTATTTAGAAACAGGGTCTCACTGAGTTGCTTAGCATCTTGCTGTTGCTGAGCCTGCCTTTGAATTTGCGATCCTGTCTCAGCCTCCTGAGCTGCTGGGATTGCAGGCATGTGCTATTGCACCTGGCCTAGCATCTCTTTTATATCCTCTAGATCGTATAGTCCACAACCACGAAATCCAAAGTTTTTCACGTATCCAGAAAACTAGATTGTGAAATCTGTGTTTTTATTAGACAATGGTATCTAAAATTGTGTTTCTGTTAGACAACGGTATCTAAAACTGATGGAGTCCACTGAAATTATATTCTTACAGGGTCTGTGATCACTATTTCTATGCCATTAGAAGCAACATAGCTAGGATGGTTATCTTTCCCTGACATTGGCAATAATGTCCATTTTCTTGTCTTAGAAGATAAGGAATACCAAGATGGGTGACAACTGTAGATTCTTTTATTGTGGTTAAGGAAGGAACAGTGTCTGACTGGGAGGAAAAAATGTAGATGCCATCGTTGCTATAGCATTCTATGAGCCTTGGAGGAGTTTTGCAGTTTTATTCTCCTTGCTGTACTGGGGAATGAACCCAGATGCACTCTACCACTGAGCCTTTAAAAAAATATTTTGACACAAGGTGTCATTGTGGAGGCTGGCTTTGAATTTGTCATCCTTCTGCCCTAGTCTCCCAAGTAACTGGGAATGATAAGATTGAGCTACTATGTCCAGCTAAGTAATTTCTTTCTTTCTTTCCTTCCTCCCTTCCCTTCCCTCCCCTCCCCTCCCCTCCCCTCCCCTTCTCTTTTCTTTTCTTTTCGTGCTGAGGATTGAACCCAGGGGTGCTTAACTACTGAGTCACATCTCCAGCCTGCTCCCTTTAAACTGTCTTCACATAGGATCTCACTAAATTGTTAAGGCTGGCCTTGAACTTGTGATACTCCTGCTTCAGCTTCCCAAGGCACTGGGATTACAGGTGTGCACAACCATGCCCAACAAGTCATTACTTTTTGATGGAACACCAAGGTGAATGTAGGGAGTGATTGGAAACAAGACTGAAAAAGGAATAGAGTAGTGAGGACCTTGTATATCAAGCAAAACCCACAGAATATAAACATTTGTGGCAATGAAGGAAACTGGAAGTATTAAAATTAGTTGGAGGGAATGAAAAAAGACAGTTAACAGACACTCTCAGTAGAAAAACAGAAAGTGTAAAGAAGAAACAGAAATTTTAGAACTGAGAAGTGAAATACAATGAAATAAAAAATTCATCCTCAATAGGAAAATGAATATGACAGAAGAAAGAAGGGGTTAACCTACAGGTGGAACAACAGAAACTACCCCACCCGCAGGACAGAGAGAAAAATGCATCGGAAAAAATGAACAGAGCTTCAAAAGACTTGGACTATAGTAAAAGATTTAAGGTGCAAGTTGTAGAATGACAGCAGATTTCCTGTCAGAAGCCAGGGAGGCCAGGAGGAAGTGACCCAGCATTTTTCAGGTGTAAGAAAAGAATTATCAACCCCAAATCCTGTACCTTGTGAAAAGATCTTTCAGGAGTGGAGGAAAAATTAATGGAGGGGATGCAAAAACTAAGCAAATGTGTATCAGCAGACTTATCTTTAAAAAGTGGCTAAAGAAAATTCTCTCTCTCTCTCTCTCTCTTTTTTTTTTTTTTTGGTACCGGGGATTGAACTCAGGGGCACTCAACCACTGAGCCACATCCCCAGCCCTATTTTGTATTTTATTTAGAGACAGGGTCTCACTGAATTGCTTGTGCCTTGCTTTTGCTGAGGCTGGCTTTGAACTCTCGATCTTATTGCCTCAGCCTCCTAAGCCGCTGGGATTACAGGTAAAGAAAATTCTTGAAAAGGAAGGAAATAATAAATGAAGAAATTATGGACATAAGAAGGAAGGGAAAGAACAGAAAGATAAGAATATGAGTAATACAACAAACTTTTCTTCTGAGTTTTTTAAAATTACGTTTGATGGTTGAAGCAAAAATGATAACACTATCTGATTAAGTTCTTAATATCTACAGAAAAAAATGAGAAAAAGAATAGTTACGATTTACAAATATGGGAAAGAGGGATATAGTGGGAAGTAAAGTTTATATGCTTCATTTGACCTGGTAAAATGTGGAAACAGAAGACTGTGCTGTCTGTATAATGACCATAATAGCCACTGAATATATGTGGGAGGAGATATGCTCAAAACATCAATAAAACAAAATTTTAAAAAAGTCTCAGCAATCCTCAGGAAGTCAGAATTGGTATACCCAACAATATGGAAGGCTCTCAAAGGCAGTCCGTGCTGGTCAGTGAAAAAAGCTGATTTTAAAAGTTACACACTTATTACTACTGCCAGGGGGTGAAGCTGGTGAAGCTGGCGGGTGGAGGCTGGTGTGGGTATGAAGGGGTGCCTGAGGGAGACGTGAAGCATTTTGATCCTGTGGCTACATGGATTGACGTGTGTGACACAGTGTCACAGAACTCTGCACCTGTAGCACCACCACTTTCTGTTTGCTCTTTCGCCACATAGTACACTCCACGGCTTCCACCTCCACAATGGCCTCGAGAAGGATGCCTCTCCTCTCCAGGCACTTTTTTTTTTTTTTAATATTTTTTAGTTGTGGATGGACACAAGACTTTTATTTTTATGTGGTGCTGAGGACCGAGCCCAGAGCCTCACGTGGGCTAGGCAAGAGCTCCACCACCGAGCCCCCGCCCCCGCCCCATCCCTTCTCCTCTCCATTTTACCTCCACTCTTCTAAGTACCTCAGAGATAGTTTTCTTTGGGTAACTTATTCTTATCTAATCTCAGCACTTCTTAAATTTAGTTTATTACTCTTCCCCTGATTCTTCTTTGTTTGGCCACCTTTCTGCCTGTCACCTGCAGACAAATATTAGTCAACTTTTGTCCTCTCCTCTGGCCTGCGATCGTCAGTCGCTTGATTCATCATACAGGATTTTTCCTTAAGTTTATTTCTGTTTTCAGTGTCTCCTTAATAATTCAGGACTTCCCAAACTCTTGCCTAAACATGACAAGAATTTCCTAATGCACTGTTAGGCCTTCAAACTCCTACAAATCTCATCTTTGAAGCAAAAAGATCCTGACTCAAAAAGTTGAAATGTGAGTGTAAAGAGGACAAAAGGGCCATTTGAAGAGATCTGAACAGAAGTTAAAGAAGATATATCCCTGAAAACAGTTACCATGTTCACTTAATTTAAATGCCACAGTCATGCAAATTATAGGCAACAACATTTTTTCTCTTAACAAAAGTACAAAGTACAAACATACCTTAACTCTTCGAGTAATGCTAAGGAATTGACAAGTTTTATCATAAAGTTCCTCCAAGTTTTCCCTGTCCCAGTAGAAATCAGGAGTGATCAGGAAGTCTGAACTCAAGTTTATACGGTGTCTTAAAAAAAGGAAAATTATAATCTTTTAATCTTGAACTAAAAATCAGTGTTTCTATTTCATACTTATATTGTGCTATATGAGAACATTTTAAAATGCTGACATTTGCAAAATACTTGTAACGTAAATCTAAACACTGAAAAAAGAATTTTAAAATTCTCAACCAAATTAATCCAGTCTTTAATTACATTCTGTTTTCAATTTCTAAAGTTGTTTCTTTTTCATTACAAAAAGCTTATAATATACACACACATATTTGGGAGGGATAGGTAATACAAAGTTCAGAATTTTAAAAATATATACAGGTATAAGCCTGTCATCCCAGCAATTTGGGAGGCTGAGGCAGGAGCATCACAAATTCAAAGCCATCTTCAGCTGGGATGGGCACATATATAATCCTAGCAGTTTGGGAGGCTGAGGCAGGAGGATCAAGAGTTCAAAGCCAGCCTCAACAAAAGCGAGGCACTAAGCAACTCAGTGAGACCCTGTCTCTAATAAAATACAAAGAGGGCTGGGGATGTGGCTCAGTGGCTGAGTGATCCTGAGTTCCATCCCCGGTACCCCGCCCCCAAAAAAGCCATCCTCAGCAATTTAGTGAGTCCCTTAGTAATTCAGCAAGAACTTGAGTAACTTAACAAGAATCTCTCTTTAAAAAACAAACAAACAAACAACAACAACCAAAAGCTGGAGATGTTGCTCAGTGGTTAAGGGCCCCTGGGTTCAATCCACAGTACAAAAAGAAAACAAAATGTGTATATACATTTATATGTATAGGTAAAATTGACAAATAGTACTCTTAATTGTGGGTGTCGGGGGTGACCGAACCCTGGGCTTCATTTTACCACTGAGCCACACCCATCCCTTTTTAAAATTTTTTAATTTTGAGATGAGGTCTGGCTAAGTTGCCCAGGCTGGTAGTAAGTTTGCAATCTTCCTGCCCCAGACTCCTCAGGAGCGGGACTACAGTGTGGCCACCACACAGCTTTCCCCATTCTTACCTGCAGCTCTCCTCTCCTCCCACTTCCTATGGTGGCCACCTGTTTCCTCTGCATCCTTCCAGTGATTATGCAAACACTGGACAAGCAGACTCACACATCCATTCTTTCTCTCCCTCTCAGTTTCTGTTTTGTATAGAGGTCTAAGTTTACTTAAAAATTTTTAACTAAATGAAGATTTAAGTTGTAAAAGTTACACATAAATAGTTGCTCACTATAAAAAAGAAAATATCCTAGAGAGGAGTTGAGAAAAATAGTGGTAAACCCTCGTAAATACATGACTCAAATCCTTTATTCTCTCCAATGACGGGCCCTGTGAACACTTCAATGTGGCCTTATAGATGCTCCCTGYGCATACATGCTATCAAACTAAATGTGAATGATTTTTTTCTGTTGTGACTTCACCCAATATACCTGGCCATGTTTCTTTTCAGATTCATCACCTTCCTTTATTAACACACATGCACTTTTAAGAATAAGGAAACTTTGGACAGAAAAGTCAGCCTTATAGCRCTGGGGATGGACCTCAGTGGTAGAGTGCTCACCTAGCATGTGTGAGACACTGGGTTGGATCCTCAGCACTACATGAAAATAAATAAAAAATAAAGGTATGTGCCCATCTGGAAGCCTTATAGAAACTTACAAATCTAAGTATATTTAGTTCTAACTTTTGAGGCTTTATTTATTTATTTTGTGGGACTGCAGATTAAACCAAGCCCTTTATCCATTATAGATAAGCACTCTACCACTGAACCACATAGCTAGGCCTTTTTATTTTATTTGGGGATGGGGTCTTGTTAAGTTGCCCAGCCTGGCCTCCAACTTGTCATTCTCCTCCCTCAGCCTCCTAAGTAGCTGGGATTATAGGCATGCACCACCTAACTCAGCTACTTTTGAGGTCTGATATTATAATTTGCAGCATCAGCTTCTGCCTGCATTACTAAGAGAACAAGAGAGAAGAATGCAGCTTTTCCACTTCTGCCATGGGATTGCTCCTAAAGAATGACCTTGAGTTAGGGTCCCGAAACTATGAGAAATGCATGGATGATGAAACACTGAACTACTTCTCTCCAGGCAGAATATCTAAGAAGCAGCAGCAGCCTAGGGTAAACATTTACAAGGAGCTCTGGTAATTCAATACATAAAAAGGAATAAAACTGGATAATACTGCCCAGTGAGACAAAAAGCAGTATCCAGGATGTTTCATTCCATATATCCTTGGACAATTATAAGAATAAAACAAAGTGAAGCCAGGTGTGGTGGTGTATGCCAGTAATCTCAGCGACTCAGGAGGCTGAGGCAGGAGGATCACAAGTTTGAGGCCAGCCTCAACAACTTAGCAAGGCCCCAAGCAACTTAGTGAGACCCTGTCTCAAAAAGGGCTGGGAGTGTAGCTCAGTGGTAAAGCACCATTGACATCAATCCCTAGTACAAAAAATTAAACTGAAAACATTGCCAGACATTTATTTAGAATGTACATTACTGTATTTCATAAATTTTAGCACACAGTCCTTTCCATTTAACATCTGTAAATATGGGAGGTATCTTAAAATTATTGATGTCTGTTAAAATGTGACAGTTGTGACTTATTTGTCATTACCTTGAACTATTTCCAATATGCTTCCTTTCTGAATGTTTAAGAAGGAATCCATATCAAATAAGACTAAAGGGCTATGTGTGTAAAATCTAAATTCTAAGATTAAAATGCATTATTATAATTGCTAGATATGTTGAACATTTTTTTCATACTTTTTGACCATTCATATTTCTTCTGTGAAATGTTTGTTCAGTTCCTTTGCCTATTTATTGATTGGGTTATTAATTTTTTGGTGTTAAGATTTTTGAGTTCTTTGTATATCCTGGAAATTATGCCTTATCTGTGGTACTGGTGGGGCAAGATGTTCTCCCATTCTGCAGGATCTCTGTACATGTTCTTGATTGTTTCCTTTGCTGTGAAGCAGCTTTTCAGTTTGATACCATTCCATTTACTGATTCTTGATTTTACTTCTTGAGCCTTAGGGAGTCTTGTTGAGGAATTTGGTTCCCAAGCTGACATGTTGGTGAGTTGGCCTATTTTTTCTTCTAGTAACTGCAGGGGTCTCTGGTCTAATGCCTAGGTCCTTGATCTACTTAGAGTTGAGTTTTGTGCAGGGTGAGAGATAGGGGTTCAATTTCATTCTATTACATATGGATTTCCAGTTTTCCCAGCACCATTTGTTGAAAGGCTATCTTTTCTCCAATGTGCGGTTATAGTGCCTGTATCTGAGATGAGATAACTGTATTTATGGGGGTATGTCTGTGTGTCTTTTATTGGTCTTCATGTCTGTTTTGGTGCCAATGCCATGCTCTGTAGTATAAATTAAGGTCTGATATTGTGATGCCCCCTGCATTGCTTTTCTTGCTAAGGATWGCTCTGGCTATTCTGGGCCTCTTATTTTCCCAAATGAACTTCATGATTGTTTTTTCTATTTTTGTGAAGAACGTCATTGGGATCTTTATAGGAATTGCATTAAATCTGTATAGTACTTTTGGTATTATGGCCATTTTTATAATGATGATGCAAATTAAAACTACACTGAGATTCCATCTCACTCCAGTCGGAATGGCAGTTATAAAGAATACAAGTAACAGTATATGTTGGTGAGGATGTGGGGAGAAAGGTACTCTCATACATTGTTGGTGGGACTGCAAATTGGTGCAACCACTATGGAAAGCAGTATGGAGATTCCTTAGAAAACTTGGAATGGAACCACCATTTGACCCTGTTATCCCACTCCTCAGTATATCCAAAGGTCTTAAAATTATCGGACTGTAGTGATGCAGTCACATCAATGTTTATAGCAACTCAACTCACAAGAGCCAAGCTATGGAAACAAACTAAGTATCCTTCAACAGATGAATGGATAAAGAAAATGTGTTATATATACCCAACAGAATATTACTCGACATAAAGAATGAAATTATAGCATTTACCGGTAAATGTATGGAACTGGAGAATATCATGCTAAGTGAAATAAACCAATCCCATAGAACCAAAGGCCAAATTTCTGACTTGTGGATGCTAACCCACAACAAGGGAGGGTGGTGGGGAGAATAAAAGTCCACTGGATTAGACAAAGGGAAGGGAGGGAGGGGGGAATAGGAAACAATAGAATTCATTGGTCATAACTTTCCTAACCTTGTATTTGTATAAAAACCAGGGTAATTCTACACCATGTATGACCACAAGAGCGGGAACCTAAATAGAATTAGTTATACTCTATGTGTGCATATTCTGCCAAAATACATTCTACTGTCATACACAAAAATGAAAAAATGCCAAAATAGAAAACTTTTTCTTACAGACAGAAAAACAATAAAAGGCAGCCATTCTTTTCCAGTTCTTTACCTAACCACTAAAGGTTTATGAAAACATTATCAGTATGAACACATGATGTGGTAATGATTCAATATGTAGACAAATTCCATCATTCTCTTAGGTTACTACAATTCTATAACTAGATAACTCTGTTTTCATGGAGGAAGAAAGTTATATATCTTTTAAAATTCTTCTCAGTTGTAGATGGGCACAATACCTTTATTTTTATTTTTATGTGGGGCCAGGGATCAAACCCAGTGCTTCACACATGCTAGGCAAGTGCTCTACCACTGAGCCACAATTCGGCTAAAAGTGGTGTATCTCCTGAATTCTGGATCCATTTGACATTTATATCTCCTGAATTTTTCATTTCAGTATGAAATAAATATAAACATAAAAAAGCATTATTATAGTTTAAGTGGCAGGGTTTTCCTTGTCTATGGCATTTTATAGTGACTGAAATTCAATGAAATATGGTATATAACTTTTCAGTAGCAATTAAGTTGATTTAGCAACAGGATGCAATGATATATTTTTACTGAGAATTCCCATTAACCAAATTCTAGACTGAATCTTCCTACCTTCAAAGAGCATCTATTGTGCCCTTGATATGGTTTAATGTAGACCAATTAAAATCTCTTACACATGCTGATTATCCTCTAGTATAGTCCTAATACAGCCTGCTTGGTTCTCATGGGTAAGAGTTCTCTATGCTAGTAATCAGTGAAAGAAAAATAGCTGTAAAGCAAATGTGCTTTTTTCTCTGTTTTTGATACTAGGGATTGAACTCAGGGGCACTTGACCACTGAGCCACATCCCCAGCCCCATTTTGTATTTTATTTAGAGACAGGGTCTCACTGAGTTGCTTAGTGCCTCGCTTTTGCTGAGGTTGGCTTTGAACTTGCGATCCTCTTGCCTCATCCTCCTGAGCCACTGGGATTACAGGCGTGTGACACCATGCCCGGCTTAAATGTTTTCTCTTTAATATACAGGAATGTTTTCTTGATATTTTAAGCATATGAAATGTTATATTTACAAAAAGAAAATTTTACCTTAGGGCAAAGAGTTCACCCATTTTCTGCATAACTTCTTTATGAGACAGTTTCACTTTCTTGCCAGCTTTTAAAGCCTATTTGGGAGGGGGGAAACACACACAGTCAGCCCTTTTTCTGTGGGTTCTTCACCTGTGGATTCAACTAACAAAGAATAGAAGTATTTTTAAAAATTACACCAGCACTGAGTATGCAGACAATTTTTCCTTGTCACTGTTCCCTAAATGGCACAGTCTATTACAACTATTTACACAGCATTTATTTATATTAGGTATTATAAATAATCTACAGATGATTTAAAGTATACAAGAGAACATGCATGGGTTACATGGAAATACTATGCCATTTAACATAAAGATGAGCATCCATAGTTTTTGGTATACTGAGGGTAGGGATTGGGCCCTCGAACTAATCCCCCATGGATACTGAAGGATTCCAGTAAGTATTAGATTCATCAAGCAAATTCTAAAGGAGCAAAATTTTAAATTTACATATATAACTCTTATATGTCAGTCTCCCAAATAGACATCTACACTCACCCCAAGATTTCAAAATCTTAAGTAGAAATTTTATGCTTTTTAAAAATTTCCCTTTGCTATAGATTATTTTCTTTCTTTTTTTTATTCCAATACTGGGAATTGAACTCAGAGGCACTTTACCATGAACTACATCTCCTGCCTTTTTCATTTCAGTAGGATCTCACTAAGTTGCAGAGGTTGGCCTCAAACTTGCCATCCTCTTTCTTGGCCTCCTAAACCACTGGGATTATAGGTATGTACCATCATGCCTGGCTAGATTGGTCCTGAAAGTCCCCCAAAGGCCATATGTCTGAAGATTTGGTCCTTATCCTGTGGTGTTACTGGGAAAAGGTGGAAGCGTTATGAGGTGGGGCCTAGTGGGCAGGAGTTAGGTAACTGGGGTGTACCCTCGAAAGGCATACTGAGAACTTGGCATGTGACACCATGCTCGGCTTAAATGTTTTCTCTTTAATATACAGGAATGTTTTCTTGATATTGTTAAGCATATGAAATGTTAGTTATATTTACAAAAGAAAATTTTGCCTTAGGGCAAAGTTAAGGAGAGTTAGTTATGGCAAAGGTAGCACTAACGTAGAAATAGGAAACTCAAGATTTCTAGGCCCTGTTGACAGACCAAAGCTAGTCTAGCAGTCTGGTAGAATTCCAGACTTTCTCTTCCTTTTTCTTTGCTTCCTGGCTACAGAGAGGCGAATAGCTTGCTCTCCCACAGGCTCCCTACCATGAGATGCTTTTTTGCCAAACATCTAAAAGCAATGGATTTGTCCAACTATGGACAAAAATTGCACCAGCACTGAGTATGCTCCAAACTGTGAGCCAATATAAACCTTTCTTCTTTATAAGCTAATCATCTTAGGTATCTTGTTACAGTAATGGAAAGCTAAAACACCCTTTGTATCGGCACTTCCATGATATACATTCCTAATCTTATCATAAAAACAGGGCCTTTTTTTCCAAGAGTAATTATTGTGTCACTGTAAAAACATTAGTAAAAATGACTTTTAATGCACTTTGTCATTTTTAATATAACTTTATACATTTATAACCATATTGTAAAAATAACTTATCTTTTATGCCACTATATTTCTCAAAATTTAGTAGTCTTTTTTAATCACAAAAAAAATGATAATCTCCTTCCTTAGAAAGATTTCATTTTCCTTTTTTGTAGTACTGGGCAGCAAATCGAGGGCCTCTTAGCATGCTAGGCAAGTGCTCTACCAGTGAGCTACAACTCCAGCACAGTTATATTTTTATTCAGTTATATTAAAAATATATACATATATATATATATAACTTTTATTCAGTTATATTAAAAATATTGTGCCATCACAGTCATTTGAAGTTAAAAAAAAATCAACACATGAAAGTTCACCATTTTATATGTATTTGGAAGTTGGTTTTGTATGTGTTTCTGAAGACTGAACCCATGTTTTCAAGCATGCTAGGCAAGTACTCTACCAGTGAGCCACATTCCTAGCCTGGTTTGTCTTTCGCGTAAATTCTGTGTAGCTTTCCTAGTGCATTTTTTAAAAAATATTTATTTTTCAGTTGTAGTTGCACACAATACCTTTATTTTATTTATTTTTTTATGTGGTGCTGAGGATCGAACCCAGGGCCTCACATGTGCTAGGGGAATGCTCTACCACTGAGCCACAACCCCAGCCCCATTCCTAGTGCATTTTACTACTTTATTGTACATATAGGAAGTTTGTATTATTCTCAATTAGGAATCAATCCTTGAAAATAAGCATAAACTTGATATAATTACCTCTGGAATAGACTGAATAGACTCAATAAATTTATCCAGTGTCACTTCCCAAATAGCCAGTTTCACTGGGGGGAAAAACATGGAAAATTTCTTTATAATATTATTCATGCTTATATAAAATCCATAACTGTACAGTACTTTTGCTGCCATTCGAACATTAAAAGTATAAGAAGCAAATATGCTAAAAATTGAAACTAAAAATTAAGGATGGTTAGTTATGGCAAAGGGTAGCACTAACGTAGGACAGGAAACTCAAGATTTCTAGGCCCTGTTGACAGACCAAAGCTAGTCTAGCAGTCTAGTAGAATTCCAGATTTTCTAATACCACTTCTCAGAAGCCCAGAAGGTGTGCGGTACCCCTTGACACCCCGAGTAGCTCTGTGCACAGGGCTGGAGCGGGCCTTCGCTGGTTTTCCTTTACAATCCTCAGGGCTATGAGGAAAGCACAGAGGTCTCTGAAGCTTCCCAGAAGGGTGCGGAGGGGCTGCTGTAGCAGCTGCCTCATGCACACTAGAGGCAAAGGAAATTCTTACAGAACTTCTACGGTATTATCAGGGGCATGGATCTTTCAGGAAAAACTTAAGAGTAGTTGTGACTCTGGCCCATTCCTGTGGAACCTGGGAGTGTGGTTTTCCATTGAGGCCTGTGCACAGTCACATGGGCTGGGCTTTCTCTGCCTGGATCAGAGGTACCCAAGTATCATGATCATACAGACAGAAACGGAAAGGAAACAAAGGCAGTGACAATCACATAAAAAACATTTGTGGAGGAAGTAAGGTTTATCAATACAATTAACAAGGAATGAGTAATAGTACAGACACTACCTTTAAACTTTCTACTGTATTTATTTTATGGAGGAAAAAAAAGGATACTAAAGCTTTGTAGAGTGAAAACATGCCAAAATGTTCACCAAATAAACTCCCCTTGATGAAATGAAAACTGTGTAATGCATTCTGCAAACAGCAGCAGTAACTTACCTGAAAGACAAAGGGCATTGGAGAAAGCAAATTTCTCTAGAATGGCATCATCTAAATCCAGCTCCGAATTTAAATTGATCTCCCCTCTGTGAAGTTTTGACTGACCTCTGTGGAAGGAGGGTGGGGGTGATGAAGAAAGTAACTTACAAATCCTTTTTAGTCTTGAGATGGGGTCTCACTATGTTGCCCTGGCTGGTCTTGAATGGTGAGGTCAGCCAGTCTTCTTGCCTCTGCCTCCCAAGTAGCTGGAACTCCCATACCCAGGAATCTTCCAAATCTCAAACACATTTAAAGTTTTTGTTTTGAAAAAAATCACCTTTCTAGGGGTCATTTTGTTAATTTGTATCAAGAGTTTTTATAAATGCTCTAAACTATTTTCAAGTTATTTTATTTCTAAGAATTTATTGTATGGAAGCAATAAAAAATGTAAAAAAAAAATCTGTATACAAAACATTTTTACTTTAATAGTAAAAAATCAGAAAAGAAACCAAATGTTCAATTAGTAATTTCACCAAACAAAAATTAAAAGGAGCCAGATGTGATGGTGGGAGTCTATAGTGCCAACACTCAGGAAACTTAGACAAGGAGAATCACCTGAACCCAAGAGCTAGAGTGGAGGCCGGCCTCAGCAATATAGCAAAACCCCATCTCAAAGACAGAAATAAAAAAAAAAAAAAACTCCAACATGATATGAAAGAATACTTAATATAAAGGGAAAATGTCCACAGTAATTGCTAAGTGCAAAGATGCTGCATGTAAAACTCCACACATTGGAGTTACATGACGGGGAAGGCAAGGGAGGCAGAAGTTATAAAAAACTAGGGTTTACCTGAAGATCTTTCTGGAAGGGACTGGGAGAGCAGAGGGAGGGAGTTTGTGAATATAAACATCACAAGGAAATGGGGAAAGTACAGGGGACCCTTCACAAAAGGTGTGGGACATGAAGACACAGACGAAGGAAGGTGGACTGGGGACTAATGGGAAGGCTGAGGGCAGAATGTGCTGACCATCTCGGCCAGAGGGAAAAGAGGAAAGGGAGCAGTGAGCAAGGGTTTTATGAACGAGCCTGGACCACACCACAGAACCCAGGAGGCAGCAGATAGCTAGGGTGATCTTTTTTTTTGTACTAGGGATTTAATACAGGGGTGCTTTACTACTGAATCCCATTCCCAGCCCTTTTTATTTATTTATTTTTTTGAGACAGCATCTCACTAAGTTGCTTATCAGGTCCTSGATAAATTGCTGAGGCTGGAATTTTCGACCCCCCAGTCTCAGCTTCCTGAGTCACTGGGATTGATTATAGGCATGTGCCACCACGCCTGGCTAAAGTGGTTTTTGTGATAAAATCAAATAGCTGACTCAGATTCAAACAGTTAAGGATTTCATTCCTCCACAACTCTTAAGAGTGTGACAGAGTGTGTGTGTGTGTGTGTGTGTGTGTATTTGTATGTCCAGGCACATATAGTGCCCAGCAAGCAATGGCATTTCTCTGATTTCCCAAAATAAGGGACATTCATGGGAACAATAACCACAAGATTGAGGGCTTAAAAATAAAATTAATAAAACTGAATAGCTCCTCATTTGCGTGTCTCTTTGGTTCACACCTTCACTCAAGAGCAGGCACCATGGACCCAGGCTCCCACTCATTAGGCAGGTGCCCATAGGCCAGAGAGCACTCTGAAYTCCATTTGAAAGCCAGTTAACTGCAATTATAGAGTTTCTGAAATGAAGTGAGGCAGGGGAAGTACTTGGAAAACAGTGCCTGGCATGTGGTGAGTACTTCACTATTGCTGGCCATTATTACTTAGTGCTTATCTGCTTTCTGTAGCTAGTGTCTTTTCTAAATTTTCCTCAAGCTCTGCCATCAACATTTACTTCCTTAAGAACCTACAAAGACTTTTCCTCCCCTGGATTCCACTAGACTGGTGACACCACCAGGAAAGAGTCTCCTGTCCTATTTATCCTGCCCCAACATCTCATTTTGCCCTTGCTGAGACAGGAAAATTCACGAGGCTATTGCCACTCATATCTTACTGGAGACTCTATGTTGGGCTCMCACTTCCTGCAGTCCCTCACATGTCTACAAGTGGTTCTCTTAGATCACCCCTTATCTCATTTCCTTTTTATGCTCAAAATCAATTCAGGAAAAAATGGCTTTACTTTTTACTGGAATAATATGATAGGGTTATTCTGATAAAGGCATATTATTTCCGCTAATATTTATTATATAGGTTAGGCTTTGTATTTGTACCAACAACTTCTTTCTTAAAATTAGTATCCATATTCATAAATAATTTATCTTCTCTACTACTTTGCCTAGTTTTGTTCCCAAGTACCCTTTTCATAACTTTGATAAAAAGTTGCTTACTCTATTTTTATGTAGTTAAGCTCTTCATTTTCCCAGTGTACCAATGCAATCTCATAAGGCCGAATTTCATGTTTCTCTAGAACTTGCATTACATGCTTCATCTAGAAGAAAAAGAACATTACCTGGAATAATAACTGGCTCCCTATGTACAAATGTGCTCTGGGGTTAATGTTTGTAACAATGAATAGTTTGTTTTCTACTGCTTAGTTCTTAAGGAAAAGGCAAACTCACTATGTTATTAACCTAGTAAGCTAATCAGGATGACATGTTCATTTATTTTCATTTTTGGAAAATACAGATAAGCATAAGGAAGACAATAAAGTTGTTATCCCACATCCCAAAGAATCACTGGTAACATTATGATTTTTATTTATTTAATTTCTAAAAAAATTGTATAGGTAAACACTTGTAAAAATTTAAGGAACATAAAGGTATAGAAAGTGACTATCTCTCTCTGTCACCTGGAATCATAATTCTCAGAGGTAACCATGATTAAACTTGGGGTATATCCTATATACATTTTTTTTTTCTGTGAGGTCTGTGTATATTTTGCTTTCTGCATGAAATGGGATAACTATGCATATGAACATTTGCAATGCTGTTCTCCTTAATGGAGGCACTGCAATTTATTTAATCACATTAAATGTCCATCTGTGGGGGATAATTTCTGCTCTCCACCATTATAATGTCTCCATTCACCATTATTATGCATAAATCTTTGTGGCCTATTTCTTTAGAAACTGCTGATCAAAAGACATGCAGGGTGTTGCTCAGGGAGAGTGTACTTGCTTAGCAAGTGTGAGGCTCTGAATTTCATCCCCAGCATTGTAAAAAAAAGAAAAGAAGAAAGAAAGAAAAGATATGCCTGCTTATATCTTTGATAAATATTGCTAACCTGCTCTCCAAAACAGTTCTTCCAATTTTAGAATTCAAACATTTATGAGAGCACTCAAAAACCACAGAGTGGTGTTACATTTTTTGTAACTTCATATGATCAATTTAGACTTTCTTATATTTGGTGGTCATATACATTTCCTGTTCCCCAGAATCCCTCCTCTACTGAGCAGGTATCTATTTCCTTTTAGCAAAACTGAGATTGTAGGAAGCATATTTATTTTTTTTGTACTGAGGATTAAATCTAGGATCTATGTTGTAAGGGTCTTGCCAAGTTGCTGAGGTTGGCCTCAAACTTGCAATCCTCTTTTCTCAGCCTCTCAAATAGCTGGGATTATTGGCATATATCACTGCACCCAGCTGAAGGGCGTGGTGGCGTATATCAGGGATTGAATCCAGGGGCTCTCGGCCACCCGAGCTACATCCCCAGCCCTATTCTGTATTTTATTTAGAGGCAGGGTCTCACTGAGTTGCTTAGTGCCTCGCTATTGCTGAGACTGGCTTTGAACTTGGGATCCTCCTGAGCCACTGCCATTAGAGATGATGTTATGTTGGTTATATTTTCTAATTTGCTCTTTTTTTGGTACCAGGAATTAAATCCAGGGGTGCTTAACTACTAAGCAACATCCCCAACCATTTTATTTTTTATTTAGAGACAGTGTCTCAATGAGTTGCTTAGGGCCTCACTAAGTTGCTGAGGCTGGCTTTGAACTCATGATCCTCCTGCCTCAGCCTCCTGAGTCACTGGGATTACAGGCATGCGCCACTGCACCTAGGTTGTAATTTGCTCTTTTAATTTACCTGTATCACATACATAAGCAGTTTCCTGGGAATAGATATTATTCCACATGATTTTTAAGAGCTGTAGTATATTTTATCCTATAACTGTACTTGTTTTCGTTATTTATAATCTTTGCTATTATAAACAATGCTTTAAAGAACATTATGTAATTCATCATGCATAACTGTGATTATTTCTTTTGGGTAACTTTCTGGGTATAAAATTGCTGAGTTAAATATAAATCTTTGATGTACATCACAAAGCTGCCTCTAAAAAGGTTACATTAAATAAATCCTAATATAGATATTGAAGAAATTATTTTCCGTGAGTGATAAGTTCTTGAAAATTTTATCTAAAATAAGAATCAGTTTAACCAGTTTCCAATAAACTGTATGTGCATTAATCACACTCTGCACTATCACATGTAAATGCAGTTTGCCAGGGGTGGCTGGGATTCTCCACAAATGAGTGTGTGCCCAGAAAATAGAAATGTATAAAACTTAAAAATAAACCAAAATATGCATTTTAGAAGATGAAACTGATGAGATAAATATCACATAATGCTGTACAAATAAGCTGTGGACTGCCTATTAATTTATCTTCCAAAATCTCAAATTATTAAGTGCTAATAAACAATTTATTCTTACAAAACTGTATTTTTATACTTTAACACTTCACTTATACTTACAGTTTTATCTTTCACATTCCAAAACACAGCAGCTCCTTCCCTGATTTAAAAGAGCAAGAGAATCAGGTGAGTTAAAGGTAGAATAATTCTGAAGCCACGCTTAGGTAACATCTAGAACAAATCCAGAATTCAACTGCAGAAAATATGATTTACTGCCTAATGAGACAATATAGTCCCTAGATAGACTTGCTAAAATACGAAATATTTTTTGATTCTTGATAAATCCTGATTTCTCAAAATTCAAGATTTCTCACAGTTTGCAAAATCAGTAGTAGTTATTGTAATATTAATTCCTGTATCTGGACTCTTTCATATTTGGTTCAATGTAGATGCACAGAAATCAAAATTAGGAAAACTTCTGAGACCCCACCTTATTAGGAAGATTCTGCTATATGCAAAGATTATGTTTTTAACCTTGTGGAATAAAGAGACGAGACCAATTATAAGCTCTGACAGCTAACTGCCTCAGTGGAGGAAAGCTCCTACCTGCACAGTGTCTCTGACAGAAAGTAAGCTCTAAAGACCACAAATGAACTTGGTTTCATGTCTGGAGTTTCGCATGCTAATCTGTTTTAGTAAATAAAAAGAGTCATGGCTTTGGGTTTTTGTGCTGAAAAAGACAAGGGGGAAATGGAAGAAAGGTACATAGGATTCATTCACATCATTCTTTAGACATGTCTCAAGCAAAGTGCTTAGTAGATGTGTGGGTCAGTGCTTATTTTAGCACTGGGGATGGAAAAAAAAATGAGTGTGATCCGTTACCATCCTCCAGGAACTCCAAGCTAGAAAAGACACACCTAGACCACCAGGGCTTTAAAAGTTATGCAGAATGTACTATGGGATGTCCAGGAGAGGGACAATTCTCAAGGACTAGCAGAGCTAGCCATGTGAGGAAAACAGAACATGTGCATCAGAACCAGCACAGGTTCAGGGAGGTGGACGTTGGGAACAGGGCAGTGTCTTGGACAAACAGAAGCTGCAGGGTCATGAATTCTGGACATGAGCCTCAGGCTGAAGCAACAGGTAGGAGCCCAGCCCTGACAGGACTCTGTGCTGTGACAGTCTGGGAAGAGCCCCTGGAATTTTAAGCAGGAGAGTGTCATCCTCAGAGTTGCATCATGAAGAACAACTCCACCCACGACAGACCAAAGGAGCAGTGGTGGGCTGAGCAGGCGGGTAGGGAGGCCAGTGAGTACGCTGGTGTAACGGGTCAGGGTGGGGGTCTCAGGACACAGCGCTGAAGCAAAGCTACAACCACAGTACTGGTTCAGATGTGCAGATGTGCACCTCTCCATCTGTGCACTACAGTGCCCAGAAGCCACCTGGAGCAATGGAGCACTTGGAACATGCCTGAGATGAGCTCCAAGTGTGAAATTCACCACTGAATTCAAATGCGAGGGTGCAGTTTGGCTCTAAAAGCTCCTCCAAAGGCCCTGTGATAAGTGCTTCATCCCTAGTGGATGGGAGGTAGTGGAAACAGCCCCAGAGGCCGGGCCTAGCTGGAGGAAGCAGGTCACTGGGAGTGTGCCTTGGGAGGGTGTATCTGGCCCCCAGGCCCTTCCGTCACAGTCTGCTTCCTGGCCACCTTGAGGTGGCAGCTTTTTTTTTCATTTTTAAAACTGTGATAACTAGAAAACACAGCATCACGTGTGAGGCTTCACCACATCTCCCCTGGACAGTGCTGATCTAGGCCCTCAGCAATCTACACTTTTCACTTTGAGGCACAGGACTGCTGTCATTCTACTTGGGCTAAATGTTGAAATCCTGGTTATCTCTAATGGTAGGGTCAAATGGAAGGCAGCATCTATGTGAACAAAAATAAGGCTTCTTGTTTTCAACAACCCTAAGGACTAAGATCACAAAACCCTCAATCAAACTTCAGATTTTTTTTTTTTTTTTTTTTGGAAAAGGTCTCACTATGTTGCTTAAGCTGGTCTTGAACTCTTGAATTTCTGGGCTCAAAAACCCCTTCTATCTCATTCTCTGGAGTAGCGAGTGCTGTGGTGTCTTGCCCATCTTCAAGTTTGGATTCTTATAGATTTTCCACAAGTTTCTGCTCTGCCACCTATGAGTCTCACGATCCTGGGTAATTCACTGAGTCTGTCTGACCCTCCGCTTTCTTGGCAGTAAGATGGGAATAACAGACCTTCCTCAAGTGTGGGGAGATTTTTTTTAAAATATGGTTTCTATTATTATTATCATTCAACTACTCCACTGTATTTGGTATCAAGATAGTCTCTACATAAAAGGAGTAAGTATATGTGTGTCAGGGTYCCTGTCTGAAGTCTCTGGAGAGGTAAGACAGGCTAAAAATTTAGATGAAAAGCCACAAAAAAGGAAGAAAGAAAAGGAAGGAAGAACAGCAGGGGAGGTGGCATGAGTCCTACACAGGCACTGAGATGACTAGGAGACAGGTACTTTACCTAAACCTCAGTGAATATCCACATTTACAAATAGAGACAAAGCAGGAGAAGACTAGTAGTTGGTCTTTTTTTTTGGGRGGGGGGCAGAGGATTGAATCCAGTGGTTGCTAAGCAACCACTCTACCCTGAGCCACACCCTCAGCCCCTATTTACTTGTTTTTAAATTTGTTTATTTTGCTGAGCACAGTGGTGCATACTTATAATCCCAGCAATTTTGTGGGATAAAGCAACAAGGACAGCAAGTTCAAAGCGAGCCTGAGCAACTTAGAGGCCTAAGCAATTCAGTGATACAAAATAAAAAATAGAGAGGGCTGGGGATGTGGCTCAGTGGTTAAGCGCCCCTGGGTTCAACCCTGGTACCAAAACAAAACAAAACTTTTCCAAGAGGATTTGCCAGAGGATTCCAGATTTGCTAGATGAAGAAAGAATCAGATGATTGGGTTAGGGATATAGCTCAGTTGGTAGAGTGCTTGCCTTGTATGCACAAGGCCCTGGGTTCAATCCCCAGCACCACCAAAAAAGAGAAAACAAGATTCTGGTCACAAATACATTTTGAACACATGTTCTGAGAGGTACATGAACCTTTAAAGACTATAGGGACTGGGTCAGGAACTCATTTGCCAACAGGGTTTCCTTCCTGTGTTACCTGAAGAAGAATATTGTTCCAGGATCACCTTCTTTTGCAGAACTTTCCACACCCATCACCAAAATATTTGCTGCATCTGTGGTTTAAAATAATAACAACAACAACAAAACTAGGTCACAAAGTGACACAAGTTTAAAAGTCATCTGTAAATTTTTACAGAAGTACTTATGACGACTTTGTACACCAAGGAGACTCAGAACTACAACTAGAATTATCTGCAACTATTTTAAAAATTTAAACCTTTTAAATATTATGAAATACATACCAATATTCATTACTCAGTAGTTAATTTACATATTAGTACAGTAATAGTCCTTGTAAGTAAATGAATTTTCTGTAATACATTATAAGTAATATTAACATACCAATTAAGATACTATTAATTATTTACAAACAGTTGTATACAGTTTCCCAACTCTGCAATGCCCAGAGCCACACTGCCGACAGCCTTCAGTGCCCACCATGAATACCCCTAAGCAACTTTTTATCTTAGGGGCTCTGGACATGGCTCTGTTAATTCTAATTCTTTTTGTCATCCAACAGCACAAACACTCTGTTGAGGTCACCAAAGCTGAAAAAGCAAGACATTCAACTGTTTTTTATGTCAATCTATGAGTCTTTAACAAAGAATTTTCTCTGTAGCAGAAAAGTTTTCAACCCTGATATTTTTGCTACTCTGAAGGAAACTCAAGTTTTCTCAGTAGTGGACTATCTTGGGAATCACTGTAAAATTTTCTCCCATCAAAATGTTCTAAGTTATTCATTTTTAAATGTAAAACAGGACATCTTCTCAAGAATCCTACCTGAAACTATCCTAAAATCCTCACTTGTTAATTTTCTTCTTTCTTATACTATATTATATTTTCACTAATTTTGTTGAAGTATTGGACTGGTAATTTATTTACTTGGTTTTGGTATTTGTGGATCAGTGGATGCTTTACCACTGAGCTATAGCCTCAGCCCCTTTTCTAAATTGTTTTTTAAATTGAGGCAAGGGTCTCACTAATGGACTGGTGAATTTTTTTAAAAGGCCCTTCTACCAATTTCATGGTTTTATAATGCTAAAATAACTTTTTAATGTGACAAAAAAGAAGTAGCATGGGGCTTTGATTTGGGTAAGCATCCACCAAAGGTTTGGTCTTCAGCCCATGATATTATTAGAAGTGCTGGAACCTTAGGAGGTGGCCTGATGGGAGGAGGTTAGGTCACTGCAGGTATGCTCTTGAAAAGGATATTGGCCCTTCTTCTTCCTCTCTTTTCTTCTCACCTTCCCAGGTTCAAGAAGAAGTACCAGCTGTCATGAGTGAGCAGCTGATTCCACACAATCCCACCATGACGTGCCGTCTCATCACAGGTCCAAAGCAATGGCCCAACTGACCTCAGACTAAAACCTCTTAAGTATGGGCCAAAATAAGCCTTTTCTCTTATTATGTTGATATATCTCGAGTATTTGTTATAGCGAAAGACAGATGACTACCACACACAGCCTTTGATCTTCCCAAGTAATAGTGATCTCATGAATAAATTTAATCTAAGAACCAAATGCTCTATAAACACAATTTCTTTATAAAGACATCTGATATCACTTTTATGATTACAATCCTTTCAACAGAAAGTGAAATGCTAACAAATGCATACTTAGGACAATATCACAGGAAAATTATTTTCTAATACATTTTAACATACTTGGCCCCAGGTTCAAGCAGAAGTACCTCTAGGCAAGCTTGTTACTTCAATGTATCCATGGGCGACCAGCTCTTGAGACAGATTTCCCAGATGGTACTCGTCTGCTGTGGCAAATGCTGTGCAGTGCATCAGGTTCTGTGAGCACAAGGTGGGTTACCAAGAGGCTCAAATATCTGTGATGGCTACTGTGTCCCTAACTTAGGGGACCTCATTTGGCAAAGCCAGAACTCAAGTTTTCTGCAAACATCTCCAAAGTTCATACAAGAGAAGGGATAAGTATGAAGACAAAGAAGTTAGAGAGACAAATATCAGCTCATTGACAGAAGCATTTGCTTCTGCTAGCCAAAAAGATGGAATAATGATCCTGAAAGGGAAGCCGTGCTCCAACTGGCAGTGTCTGAAGAGCCCGAGCAGCTTTCCAACCCAGAGTTTCTGACTCTTTCACAACATTAGTATTTGATATCCTTAAAATCCACAGAAGAATTATAATATCTTTATTCTGGCTAATAGTAAACAAAAAAATCTGCAACTCTGAGAACATGTCCTGTCCGTCAGTGCTTTGCTGGGRGTCCTGTCTGCACAGACATGTAGATACCTGAGTGTCCATACCACGTATACACGGTAAGCAATTTGCAGTGATGGTCCAAACTAGCGGGAGGAAGTTAGGTCACTGGGATGTGCCCTTGAAAGGGACACTGGCCCCTCTTCTTTCTCTCTCTTTGCTTCCCAGCCACCATGAGGTAAGCAGCTTCATCTGTCATATGCAGATGTCAGTTTAGTTGACCTAAGCCAGCTTAAAAAAAAAAAAGTCTAATAAAATATAAAAAAAAAGAATAAAATACAAAATATCATGGTGCCTTACTCATTGCAAGAGCAAATGTTACTATATGAAGTTTTCTGTCACATATGTGTCTACTTTTGTATGTCACTATATATATAAAATGTTGAATATATTTCTCACCAGAGAAGAACCCAGGAAAGTTTGAAAGCTATCAGCATAAGAATTCAGACAAAAATATGATTGAAATTTTTTAAAAAATCAAGAATAATAATGTCTACTTTATAGGGTTATTTTAAAGTTTAAAAAAGCTGATAAATATGTATTTCTCAGGACTGTTCAATATTTACTGAACTACAGTTGGTCAAAAGAAGTTTAAGAGTCACTAAATGAACAGTTCTTCCTAGGACTTCCTCATCTCAGCTCCTAGGCATTCCCACTCTGAAATTCTGGAGAGGCAGTCTGTGAAGTCCTTCCTTCCTCTAGCTCCTGTTACTTAATTCCTACCCTTTCTCAATTAATAGGCTAACCCTGCTTTGTCTTCTCCTCAGTCTGTTACACAATCAAGTGGCTTAAAAAGCAGCTCAGGAATAAATGGAAGACTTGAGAAACCACAAAAACTGAAATGTCAAAAAATCAACAAAGTATCTATTCAGAAGCACACCAAGTAATTAGAAAAAAAAAACATTAAGTCAGATGAGCTGAAATCAGTGGAGAATGATGAGGTAGCCCCCTCCTGCAGTGAGCTACTTCCCATAGCCACACGTGGAAGAACACAGCGCACACACACCACACACAGACAAGCTTCAGAGACCAGGTAGTCACTGGAGGGCAAGAATAGGACGGGCATGGCCTAGACCTGCCTGGCTTCATGGAGCTTAAGCTGGCTGAGAGAAAGGGAGTCTTGTCAACCCATCAGGTAAGGCATAGCGCTACTCAGTAAGACCTGGCAGATTTGATGTGACCTGCTGGACAACATCACAGCATGTTAGGGTGGGTGCCTTCTCTGACTGCGACTGATAATAAGACCGGTTTCAGCTGAGCAGGGGGGGGAGGCGCAAAAAGGAGAAGACAGAAGATAACAACAGTCCAAGGCCAGTCCACGAGGATTAGCCTGTAACTGTGCTGAACACAGTGAGCTCCGACAGCCACCCGAGTTGGTCTTCATAGCATTTCTAAGATGGGAGTCACAAGTCAACAATGAATTGAGAGATTTCACACAAAATCCACATTTCCCTACCATCTTTTGCCTAAGTGGAGATCCGGCCACCATGGACTAGGGCTGAGTAGCGGGCCCAGGTCGCAACCACACAGTCCTTACCTCAAATGTCTCATATCTGCTTTATTTTTGTAACTGGACCAGCCCACATGTGCTAAAAAATGCATGCTATTTTGAACTTTCAAAGAGTGGGTGGACCACAGCAAGTCATTCAATCACTATTTCTACGAGAACATACATTCTGAACTCCAGACTACAAATAAATCTTTAACATTACCTCTTTTTCCATAGCCATTCTAAGTATGAAGATTGTCACCTTTTCTTTTTCTCAGTATCTTCTATTTAGTTTGGCTCAAAGAGCTCTTCAATGTCACAGGTGTTAACAGGGCTCACCATACTCCTCTTAAGTTGTGGCCTTCTAATAACAGACAATTCACAAGTTTTGAAACTTGACTTTTTTGACATTTGTTTGGGTTTTGATTCCAAATTTCAATTTTTCATGTGAGACCATTTGGAAAAGGAAAAGAGAACCATGGAGCGCCTTGTCACCACCTTTTTTCTTTGTGGTACTGGGCACTCTACCATTCAGCCACACCTCCAACCCTGCTCTAAGTTGCCCAGGCTGGCCTCAAACTTGCAACTCTCCTGCCTCAGCCTTCCAAGTGGCTGGGATCACTGGTGTGTGCCACTTCACCTGGCCATATCTCCCACTGTTAATTAAAGGTGCTGTTACTGTATGAGAAACTTTTTTTCCTGGCCTTTTACAGTGAATCCTTATTTATTAAGCATTAGTTACATGTACGTATGTAAAGCAAATTTTGGATTTTAGTGGGGATAAGTAACTTGTTCTTTAATAGATGGACCAAATCAACCCAAAATAGTTACTGGATTTAGGCCCCAAATTTAGGCCTATGTTAAAACATTGAACCACTGTATTTCTGTATGTTTTGTTTCTATGGCCACAGAAGACATGTTCCAGCAGATGGGGCTAGAAATCTATACAAGATTCTTACACTAACAGCACCACATGCTCTGAAAAAATTTTTTATTCATACACTATTACTGAAGAAAAAATAGTATATGATCACAACCTTATTTCTATTTTACTATTATTCTTGGATAAACTTTTATTTGGTCTTTGTCCTTGGCTCCTGGCACAGAGCTCCTAAACCCTGGTAATTTCCTAAGGGATACCGGGTGATAGGAACATTTTTTGTTGTAATATTTGGTATCTGCCTTGGGTTTTTGGCACACAGCTTCCAAATCCCCTGAAGATTCTCAAGGATAGGTACACCTTTTGTTCCAATAAGGTGATTCTTGGTGGGCTCTGGGATAGCTTCAGGATGGGGACTGGTTGCCAGAAACAACAAACCTTGAATAGAAGCTTGCAACTTTCAGGCCCTCCTCTCAAATTCAGTGAACCTCTTCACCTGGAGGTTCATGAGTCGTAGTAAATGTATCTAAATTGTTCCCAAGTTCTGGAGCCATTCTAGCAAACTCCAAACTCAAGAAGGTAGACATGGGAACCCGATTTATAACCTGGGACTTGGGGCTGGTGTCTGAAGTGGGAGGCAGTTCTACCAGACTGAGTTCACTCTTACTAACTCCATACAGGGTCACAACTGAACTGAATTGTAAGACATCTTACTAGCATCTAGAGAGTTGGAGAATTCATTGATGGAGGAAAAATGCCCCATATTTTGTTGTCAGAAGTACTGTGAGGCCTGGTGTTACACACCTGTAATCCCAGCAGCTTGGGAAGCTGAGGCAGGAGGATCCTGAGTTCAAAGCTAGCCTCAGCAAAATCGAGGCACTAAGCAACTCAGTGAGATCCTGTCACTTAATAAAATACAAAATAGGGCTGGGGATGTGGCTCAGTGATTGAGTGCCCCTGAGTTCAATTCCTGGTACCCCCCCCCCAAAAAAAATACTGTGACTATAAACAGACTGTACTTAATAAGGAAAATATGCATTTTTATTGCTACACACTGAATGTAGATCAAAGTTACAAAATACAGATACAAATACAGATATAAATTATATTACTAGTAAATGCTTTAGTGGGCTGGGGTTGTGGCTCAATGGTAGAGTGCCTGCCTAGCACATTCGAGGCCCTGGGTTTGATCCTCAGCACCACATAAAAATAAACAAATAAAATAAAGGTATTGTGTCCAATGACAACTAAAAAATAAATCTTAAAAATGCTTTATCTTATAAACTTTTTGGCTACAACCTATAATGAGAAATCAGATTATATACTCAATACATATATGTACATAAAACCAATAACTGCCATAGAAACTTCATAAATCAGTTATTTTTCTTTTATCATAGCAAATGCATTCYGGTATTTTCTACGCTATTCCTTTTTCTGTAAAAAAAGTTAATTTTATAACATGCTATGAGGTCAGTCTGAAAAACACTAATGGGTGTTCCATCATTCTCCCTCTAATGTCAGTCTCCATGCTGCTCAGGCCAGTGAGTCTCACCCTCTGGCAATCTGCTCCTGAAAGACAGGACATGTTCAAGAGCACTGCCATTGCTCTTCTGATGAATTATAAGCCATACTCAGCTATCACAGCAGGTTATGATTTCCATAAATGAGACCGGGTAGAGATTTAATTCCAATCTGGAGGGTGACTGAAACCTCAGGCAATTCCAAATACTTGCTCTAGAGCAAGTGTGGGAACAAGAGGAAGCGGACATGCTTCCTGACACTAAGCAGAGGCCTTGTCCTGTCTCAGTCAAAGGTGATGGAAAGGGTTGCCCTGTAACAAAGAAGTCACCAGTCCTATGACATTCACAGGAAAATGGAATAGCCCTCAACTTGGGGCAGAAAAAAAAGGAAGCCTTGTGTCCTAGGGACAGACTACTTAGTCATGCCTGAAGACTGATCTTCCTGTGAAAGGTAAAATACTCAGAAAACAAAGCTCCACACTTATACTACTTCAGATCACTTCGAAATATAATATTTTATCTTTATTTTCCTTACCAAATGGGCTTAAATGGAAACTCAAAATTTAAAAGCAACACACTCTGGTTTTTCGAAACTCCTAATGAAGTCACTATTACATAACACAATGTGGCCTCTGAAAAGACCCACAAAATAAACACCATTTCTATTAAGACATCATCTACTTATATCTACCTCCCTCCATGCAACCACAACTCAGATGAAAAGAAATGTACAACCCCTGATGATTGCCTCTGTTTTAATTACTGGATGTCTCAAAACTAAATGCTCAAATAGATTGTTCTTACTAAGTCCCTGATAAAATGTCTCTGTTCACATTAAATGTTTGCTTTTAAATTTGAATGTTTTTATTATCTCATTTGAAACTATGTTGAATTTTTAAAATTCAAATCCTTTTGTGGAAAGAAACAGGAAAAAAGAAAATCCTAAAGAAAAATAAAAAATGGAATTCAGGAAAACGGCTTCTAAATCTAAGGACAGCCTAAGGAAACGGACCCTCATTGGAGGTTCACAATGAGTAATGATAAAAAAAGGCGACACCTTCAACAGCATCAGCTTCTTCACAAGAAACTCAATGCACTGTGCAGGTACACCTGACAAGAGAAAAATGAGTTGCTCTTCCTCTGGGATCTTCCATTCAGGTTTTGATCCTTAGTGTCATCTCTGTCCCCTGAATGCTCAAATTCCCAGACCAACCCAAGCTCTTGGAAGAAGAGGGGTGTGAGAGCAGCTTCTGCACACATGACTGTCCTTTACATTTTGGGTGTAGAGAAACAACACAAATAGAGAAAACAACCCAGGACCCAAACCAAAAATCATTCATGAACTCATAATGACATCATCTGATGATTAGACATGAAGGGACTGTGAGCTGCATAGTAAAAATACACACATACACACACAAACTGAACATGCTCAGAATTGAACATGCTTAGAATCAAAGTTTGAAGACAGACATTCTAACCTGCTTTTTAGTAGCTTCAGAAGATCTAATCAGGTTTTAAATATTTACATTTTTTAAAGTTTTTGAAATAGGTATTACTACATTGCCTAGGCTGGCATCAAACTCTTGGGCTCAAGTGATTGTTGATCCTCCTGCCACAACCTCCCAAGTAGCTAGGACTATAGGCCTGTGCTACTAGGCCCAACTCGATATTCCTGGTTTTTTTTTTTTTTGGCAGGGGCAGGGTAGTAGGGATTGAACTCAGAGGCACTCCACCACTGAACCAGATCCCCACCCCTATTTTGTATTCTATTTATAGACAGGGTCTCACTGAGTTGCTTAGCACTTCACTTTTGCTGAGGCTGGCTTTGAACTTTTTTTTTTTTTTAATATTTATTACTTGTCGATAGACCTTTATTTTCTTTACTTATTCACGGGTGGTGCTGAGAATCGAACCCAGTGCCTCACATGGGCTAGGAAAGCATACTATCGCTGAGTTAGAACTCCAGCCCTGGCTTTGAACTCTTGATCCTTCTGCCTCAGTTTACAGAGCCACTGGGATTACACTGTGCCCAGCTCTATTTTTAATGTTGATGACTATTGACATTAAAGATTTCATTACCTCTTTTCCATGCTTTCCAACTTAACAAACATTAAATACAAGGCATAGTTCTTGGTATTACGCAAAACACAAAGGTCAAAAATGTGTCTAATCCTGACCTTAACTGTTTATCACTTAGAGGAGAAATGCAAATTGCTGCTAAAAAATTCCCAGAAACCTCTTAGCAGTGAGTAAAACACCCTCTTGAACCTTCAGAAGGTAAAAAAGAGAAAACCCTCTTGCTCCTTGCTTTTTGAGTTCACCTTGCCACATCATTGCACCACCTGTCTGCATAGTTACACCTTTTAAATAAGATGAAGAATTTCCAGATTGATTTTTTGAAAAAATAGATGCTTTTTGTAGTCCCATTCTCAGATTAGAATTAATGCTGTTTTCCAAAGGCCAATAACTTTTTCTTAGGCCAATAATTAACCCTTTCATAAACTATATTTTTATCTTTTATTGCCTATATTTTGTCATTATGGATATCATAAATTCTTTTAAGATTTTGACTCTGTTTGGATTAATTAGGCTTCAAAGATCTTAAAAGAAATTCTGAGTTGGTTGCCAGCTCTCTTGCATTAGGGGCAGGGCTGCATTGCAACACATGCTCTTTTGGAGAATAAGCAATGAGTGATAAACACAAGTGCCAGAGCCACACAGGGTTTACCTCGCTCACAGAGAGAACTGGAAGGTTGGTCCGGGATGGCTGCCTGGTCCTGGATGCTTTCAGTGGTCTCTTGATCTGCGGAAAGTCTTGCTTTGGAACAACTGTTTCAGTTGAAGTAGATGAACAATGCCTCTTTAATATTTTTATAAACCACTTAGAACCCAATAGATTAGGTTTGTGGGTCCCCTTCCTGTGAGCAGGATACGATTTCATGGATGGAAGACCTGCTTTCTCATGCTGGCAATATACAGTATTTAATGGACAGAGTTTGGTTATATCTGATATTTTCCAGTTCATTTCCAGGATCTGGGGCTCATTCAAACCACCAGCTGCTGCAACAGGAAAGAATGAATCCAAGTTTTGGTGTACTGTCAGGGGGTTGCTGCATATTTTATCCTCAAGTTCCTTGAGCGGTAACGTTAGATGAACAAGTCTTCGGCACTGATGTACTTTTGATAATACACTGTGGGATCTGGCCAGGGCTCTGAGAAGGCTGGCAGGCATTACCACATCCCACGCTGAAAGAAAAAGATTTCAGATTTCAAGTTGGTTTTGTTTCCTTAGTGTTTTAAAATTATATTTAGGTATAATTTCTCTATGAAATAAGCTTATTTCTTTTAAAATATGTGAAACAGAAAATCTTAACCTAATTATAATAGAACAACAAGTTTAAAAAATATACACATGTGTATGGCTGGGAGTATAGCTCAGTGGTAGAACACTTGTCGGCCACCAATAAGGCCCTGGATCAACCCCTAGCACTGGAGAAAATAAGTACACATGGAACATTATGAGATTAAAAAATTACTCACACACACACACACACAAACAATTTTCTTAATTTACTTCAATAGCATTTCATTTAAAAGAATCCATACTTACAAATTCATTTTAAAAAAGAAAAAAAAAAGCTGGGTGCAGTGGTRCATACCTGTAATCTCAGAGATTTGGGAGGCTAAGGATTGAGAGTTCAAAGCCAGGCTTGCAATTTAGCGAGGCCCTAAGCAACTCAGTGAGACCACGTCTGTATATAAAAAATTTTTTTAAAGGGTTGGGGGTGGTGGGGTATAGCTCAGTTGGTGGAGTGCTTGCTTTGCTTGTACAAGGCCCTAAGTTGATCCCCAGCACCACAAAAACAACAACAACAAAAAACAGAAAATGGGTTGGGATTGTGGCTCAGTGGTAGTACACTCGCCTAGCATGTGTGAGGCACTGGGTTTGATTCTCAGCACTACGTACAAATAAATAAAATAAAGCTCCATCAACAACCAAAAAAAAGGTGGGGGGGCTTGGGTATGTGGCTCAGTGGTTAAGTGCCCCTGGGTTTAATCCTTGGTATCAAAACCAAAACAAACAAACAAAAAAAAAACTTTTATTCAACCTTACAGTGAGATAAGCAACTGGCTGAGGCCAAGGATGTCTCCACGAATGGACGAGTGTCCCTGCCATCAAGGTGCTCTCCTCTCTTGGAGGAGACAGGCATTTTCATCTGCTCACCATAATTTCATAGAATAAACCCCACCACTGAGCTGTGGTCCAGATGTCGAGGAAACACACAAGGAATCTCTCAATTCTACATGCAGAACTGGGAGAGGCTCCCAGAAAAACTGAAGCTGCTTCTTGAAACAGAAGATGCTTTTTAGGTTGGAGCTGGGCCTGACAGGGGGGTCAGACATGTCAGATGTACAGAGTCCAAACAAATGAAAGAGACTACAAATGTAATTATTTTCCCCTCTTATTTACAGTACTAAATGTGTGTTCTTTTTTTCCCCAGTGCTGAGGATGGAATCCAGTGCTTTTGCACATGCTAAATAAGCACTGTACCACTGAGCACACTGACAGCCTCTAAATATGTGTTCTTTCAAAAGTAAGCCTATGGATCAATAACAGTTCTTAAAAGAAAAAAAGTCAGGTGGTACAGACTCAAGTATGGACCCATGACTTCAGAATTCACAGTCCAGCACAGGACACACAGTGTCTGGAGAAGGGAGTGTGTGGGATGAGAAGCAGTGTGGCACAGTCACTATGGGGACATCTGAACTGGGTCTTGAAAGGGCAGAGGGATCAGCAAATCAAACAGACCAGGTACAATGTATTATTTATCTGACAAACAGAGTGTAACTTCAGGGGAGGGAGCAGGGAGCTGAATGAGAAGAGGACGGAAAAGGAGCCAGAAGCAGATTCCAAGAGGATTCATTAGGTGATCCTATGGAGTTTCTTTTTCTTTTTTTTCTTTTTTTTTAGGTTTGAACCCAGGGGCACTCAACCACTGAACAACATCCTTAGCTCTTTTTTATATTTTAGAGACCTCACTGAGTTGCTTAGGCCTCGCTAAATTGCTGAAGCTGACTCTGAACTTGCGATCCTCCTGCCTCAGCCTCCCTGGAGGCTGGGAATATAGGTGTGCCCCACCATGCCAGGCCATCCTATGGAGTATCTATGGACAGAGGGAAACCAGAACTTTTAATTGAGATCCACAGGTCAGATGTGTTTCAGAAAAATGTCTTTGGTAAAAAAGCAAAGGAGTTACTGAGACAGACTAAGACATTACTTTCTACATATCAAGTGCTCTATGTTATCTTACAATAACCCAATGAAGCATTTTACAGATGAGAAAACTGAGGTTCACAGAAGTTAATTGGTTAGCAAGTCACTACGCTGTATTGCCTCCCTCAAGAAAAATAGGGACAATTATGAATCACAGTGATGTTTATGAGGTAGAACCTGCTGCTTTCAAATATCTTCAAAAGTTGTTATTCTGTTAGTTTTCCTCAAATTAGGTAATATAGTTCACCTTTAATTAGAACTATCCCCTGCTAGCATAATAAGTACATTTTGGAGAAACTATAAAACATTTTAGAAATGTGTACACAGAACTGGATTCTTTCACTGTCTCTGATCACATTCTTTACCTCCACATTCTAACTGTTTTAATATGGGAGCTATGTGAAACCCTCCACAAAAATGTAAAAGCTACAGGACAAAGGAGAAGTATGTTTTCTCTGTAGCTTTGCTGAGAAAGACACAGATCCCCGCCCCCACACACACACACAAATTTTAGACATTGCTAAAAACCAGAATGCTTTAGAGGTAAGTGAAATTTGAATTGCATGAACTAAAGATAAAAAAGTATACCAGATTTAAAAATTTACCCTAACATTACAAAAGCACATAATAATAAATTATATACATTATATTATTCTCATTATAACTCTTGGTGGCTTCTGTTACCTGTGCAGGTCAGCAGTGAAAATGAGCCTTCTGATGCCCTGGCCTCTGAGCTCTGACCTCTTTTCCTGGGTGACCTTGTTTTCCACTCTCACCCAGCAGTTCACTCCACAATCACATGTTCTGATCTATTCAGTGGCACCCAGCCAGCACACGTGTCTACTAAGTAACTGAAATGAGGCTAGTATAGACTCAGACTTCATTTTAAAAAAGGAAAATGTCTCGATAATTTTTATATTGTCTACTTGTTGACATAATACTTTTTGATATAGTTGGCTAAATAAAATACGTTGTTAAATTGTCATTTATTTTTACTATTGTCAATGCAGTTTCTAGAATGCTTAGGATTTGTGGCATGCATATTTCTCTTGGACAGTGCCCTCTAAATCTGCTACCATCCCTGAGTGCAACCTTGTGTCATTCCCAATTTCACCCAGTGGACTCTCCAAAYACTACCACCTATCTTCCCAGCTCATTCCTTCTACTTCCCATGGCCAACAATTCTCTCAACCCAACAGGACCTACAATTAGATGACCCACCCACCTTTTCATTGTTTCTCATTCCCCTGACATCACTTCCTCTACACCTAGCTTATATGTTCCACAGTCTACCATTATAATCTCTTTCCTACCCTGTGAAACCCGTGTGTCCCCCGCCACATGCATATGACATAACCACAACTAATTAAACATAACTCACCTAATTTGTGCTTGCACTCCTGCAGCCGAATGTTCTTAGACCAAACTACACACTGTCCTCTCTCACTCTAAAACCAGGACCACTCCAGGGGGTCCTTTCATGCTGCCCAACAATTTTACATCTCCCAACTGTAATCCACTCTCCACACTTGCCTCAAAATTTCAAGTCTCCCCCTTCTTTCTCATTCTCAATAATGACATACCTCTTCTTTCACTGATAAAATAGAAATGATCAGAAGGGAACTTCCACAAGACAAACCCGCAGCCATCATCGACCTGTCTACCCACTGCTTCTTTTCTATGACAGAGCCAAGTCCTCCACAACTACACAGAAACTCATCCTTTCCTATGACAGAGCCAAGTCCTTTTCTATGACAGAGCCGAGTCCACCACAAATACACAGAATCTCATCCTTTCCCACTTTTCTCCCCTCTCTCCCATGCCTTATTTTCCCTTTCACTAGAACATTCTATATAACTGTGCTATAATTTCTCCCACTTAAAAAAAAAATTAACTCTCCTCTGATCCCATTTTCCCCTTGCACACTTTTTCTGAGTTCCTTTCCTATTCCTCTAAAAGGAGTTTTATTCATTGTCTCCAATTCTTCTTCTCTGATTTCTTTCAAACTCACTCCATTTGGGCTTTCGTCCCTACCACTTTATCCAAATTCACCTGTTAATGTCGTCAAAGACCTTCACCTTCCTAAATCCTTTGCTCATTTCCTTTACCTGACATATCAAGCATTTGATGCAGTTGGTCACTCCACCCTCCTTAAAACACCTTCTTCGGTTGGTGTCTAGAATTCTACACTGGCAGTTTTCCTTCTTCCTCATTGAGTGCATCTTCTGTTTTTTCCTGGTTTTTTCATCCCTCAAGAATGGAATGCACCAGGGCTCAGTCTCTAGGCTACTTTTTCCCCCAATCCCACTCTTGCAGTTTTATATATCATTTAAATATTGATGGACAACAACTGTTTACTCTAAACCACTCTGATAAGCAACAAAAATGTAACATGTTCAAAACTGAGCTTCTGAAATCTTCCCACAGTCTTCCCCATTCACAAATAGCAATTCTTACATTTGCTAAAACCCAAAACCTTGAGTTGGCCTTGATTCCTCCCTTCATTCTCCATACCCAGTCTGTCAGTAATTCCAACTGGCCTTATTCAAAGCAGTTCTCACCACTGATACTATTACCATCTGGTCTAAGTTACTATCTTCCCCACATATTATTTTAATAGCCTCTTCCCAACCCCTTTCTGTGCCAAGAATTTAACCCAGGGCCTCCTCACATACTCTAGGCAAGTGCTCTACTACTAAGCTACATCGCAACCAATAAGAGCCTCTTACCTGGTCTCCCAGCTTCTGTCCTTGGCCTCCTATAGATTCTTCTCACATACCAATGAAAGTGATCCTTTGAGAAGCAGGACCACATCTTTTCTCAGTGCAAAATTTGATGATGGCTTCACATTTCTTTTACAACAAATGCTCCAAACTCTTAAAACGGTCTTCAAATACCCACATTTTCTGGCTCTTCACCACCCCTCTGACTTTTCCTACATCTCTTGCCCTACAGCTCTGCTCCTCATCTTGGCCTTTGGATCTTCACACTAATTGTTCCCTAAGCTCTTCTCCCAGGAATCTATAAGCCTAGCTCCCTTATCCCCTTCAAATATTTCCCATCTAGCAAAGCCTTCCTCCAGACACTTCATTCAATACACACAATTGGCACTATTTCTGATTTCCTTCACTTTATATTTCTCCATTTTATTTATCATTACTTGCATATCTTATATTTTTAGTTTATTAATTCAAACAAGAAATATGAACTGAGTCCTCACCAAGTGCCAGGTATTGTGCTAGGTGCTTATAATACAACTGAAAATAAAAGACAAAAATCCCTTTTGAACCTTATATTTCGAGGGGGCAAACAATAAATGTGGCAAATCAGTAAAATATACATCAGTGACAATGCTAAAGGGAAAATAAAACAGGAAATACTTCTGTCTCTTCTAAAATGTAATCTCCATGAAACATATTTTTGTGTTTGTTCATGTTGTATCTCCTGTGACAATAATGCCTAGACACAGGCATCAGCTGATTTTTTAAAAAATGAAATACAAGACATATACTCAGTTCATGGGCACATTTTTACTTTTTAAGAACAATAACAGCAATTAAGAAAACGTTAACAGGTAGGTTACGATTCAATGCATAAGTAGCACTCATCTTTGGGAGTATGCCTTTATATTCCTTGAATGCAAAACTACCCTATGCTCTGGCTTAAAACTGGGGTCAACAAGTGTTTGCTGACTTAGAGTGCTTTTTATTCCCAGCTAAGTCCACCGAAGATCACTGTAAGAGGCAGGGGAACCTCGCGGTACTGACGAAACCTGTTATCACCCGGGAGGCTTCGGGGGTCCAGGGGCCAAGGCAGAGACCTCGGTGCCGGGCCACACAGGTGCTAAGGAAAGGCAGTGTACTAACCTCTCCGGGAAAAGAAGAAAGCGCCAAGGGCGCGAACTTCCGCAGCAGGGCCACAGGGCAAAGCACAGTCACCCGGCAGCCGCCGTGCACACCGCCAACCCTGGTCCCGGGAAAGCTCTTCCTCCCAGAGCCCGTACTGCGCAAGCGTACAGAACTGCGGCCCGGGCCACGTGATCGCCGGACCACGTGACTCGCGCCGCCGCGACCTCTTCCGCTCCCTAGGCCCTGGGACTCCCGGTCCTTGCCTGCTTCCGCCTTCCGCCCGCTTCCTGATTCCGCTCCACTCGTTGCCCTCCGCTGTTGTCGCCTTCGTCCCCGGAAGATCTCTGCGTCCTCGAGCCAGCCATTGTTTGCCACTTGTCCGGGCACCAAATAAAGTTTTTCGTTCAAAAGCACTTTTTTTTTTTTTTTAAGCTGCAGCACGCGCTTTCTCAGCTCCTCCTTCGCTCTTCCTGCCCTCGGCGAAACCCGAGCGTTGGGGCCGGTAACGCCCGACGGGATGGCTGATGCTCCGGCGTCTCTCTCGGGACAGGACGTGGGGTTCGTCTCGCTTTTCTCCTGCCCACTTTTGCGGCGAGCCAGGCCTAGCCGGGAACGTGTGGGTAACGAGCGGAGGGTGCGCGCTGCCCCGAGGCTGCGAGTTCAAGTCCCGCCGTGGGGAACCACGCCCCAGGGCGCCTTCTGGGGTCCCGCGGACTCGCGTGGGGCGGGAGGCCGCCGCCAGCTCAAGACTCGGATCCGCTGTGCAGTCTCTGTCGGTGGCCGCCGATTTATCCACTGTAATAAATGCCCTTGTGTGTAGGGAGGGTAAAATTCTCTGTAAAAGTTGGGAATCGGAGGTCTGGGGGGATGTGTGTTTTAGTCCTGGCGCTGATCAAATTAACTCATAATCTCACAAACAAACAAAATGTGTGTACAAGTAGCTACCCTTGGAGTAGCGGGACCCCCAGTGGACGCCTGAAAGCCGAATCCTATATTATAGTGCTATGTTTTTTCCCACACATACCTRTGGTGAAGTTTTAATTTTATAAGTTAAGTGCAGTTAGGTGATAAGCAAAAATAATAAAACATTGATTTAAAATTTAGAAATTGTATTTTTGGAATTTACCATATGAATATGTTTAGAATGTATGACTACACCTGGGAAAGGAAAAGTGGATGGGGAGCAGGATTTACAGTGGTTTGGGGCTATTTAGGCAAAGCTGTGGATGATTAAGTAACATCCATTTGCATAAATTGGGTGGCCAGGTTCCTATTTGAAATAGGTCATTCCTTCAAAATATTGCAGGAAACAGAAGACAAAGAGCTACCTGGCCAGGGAGGCACCAAGGCCCCCTCAGGGTCCTGCACATAAGGGGAGTGAGCACTTCCTTAGGCGCCTCTGGCCTCACCTGGCCAGGGACTTTATGGAGGGTGCAGACCTCTGTATGAGGAAAAGTAATAGAAAAAGAACAATACAATTAAAGTGAAATCTCAAGACCTTCATTTGTTTTTGAATCTGCTGCCTAAGAAAATTTGTGTCCATTGGTTTATGTTCCTTCCTCCTTTCAAAGTATTAGTGATTTTTAAAAAATTCTAATCAGAGTAATTAGTATTCATATCAGACGAAAACAATGCTTTACTATACTTGAAGCATCACAGAGTTTTAATGTGTTTTTGCAGTTTTTTCCCCCTTAAGGTTTCAGAGTTATCATTTAAGAAAACCTTTGAAGAAGTATATATTTGAAGAAGTATTTGAAGTACCTAAGCCCAATAATTTGAAAACTGGCATAAAATACTTGAATTTTCAGGAGTATAGTGATCTCAAATTAAATTTGGAATAAATGATTTGAATAGAGGCATTCTTTTCAAAACTATCTTGTGAACTCTGTTGGTTTTACTTTGTGTTTGGTGATTGAGATATAAACACTGCTAAGCTCTGTATTACAGATGTTTAAAAAGCTGCACAGAATTTCACCWCCTAATCCTGTTTTTACTCACTGGATCAAATATGTTTTCTTAAAATATAATCACATAGATAATCTGTAARTCTTGGTTTCGTGTGTCTAAAATCAAGAATCATTTTAATTTTTTAATGCAAGTGTAAATTTTTCCTCATCTCCAGGATTCTTCATTTTTAGCATTTATGGAAAATCTCTGATTTTTTAGCTGTATTTAGAGTAAGACSAGTAGTTCACCTTGTTTAGTGGAATACAATGAGGAATTCTTTGTGCAGATAGAGAAGGTAGTAAGAAAAACCTTTGAAAAGAATTGAAATAAGAATAGATGCATAAGTATTTTTAATTTATTTCATTCCTCAAACGTATTAGAGTCTTTAGCGCAGTTTTACCTCTGTTGCCTTATTCGTCTTTCTAAGCTGATGAAGTTAGTAAGTAGTAAGCCTGGAACTAGAGCCTCCTTGCTTTCAGAGCTAATCTTATTAGCTATCTCATTGTTAAACTGGTTTCTGATTCAGGAAAAGAAAAGGATGGAAAGATAAGAAAGATTAAAACTGGGATTAGAGGCACCAGGATAATTTAGTTTCCATGACATAACAGAAGTTTTCAGATTTTCTTTTGTCAATTTAGTGGTCAAACGGGTTTACTTTTTCATAATTGCATGGAAAGGAATTTTAATTTAAATCAGATACTCCAGAAACTAAAAGATGACCTATCTTTTAGTGTTAAAGCCACTAAGTAATGTATGTGACTCTCTCTTCTAGATCATTTGCATATCTTACAATTAAAGACAGAATACCACTGATTTTAACTAAGGCTATTGATACATTGCATCGACACAAAAGTGAGTTTTTTGAGAAACATGGAGAGGTAAGAATTGTGTTTTAACTTTACTTTTTTGACAGAATGAGAGTAGGTATTGAAGATTTTTGCTTTTGTGTAAGATGTCAAAATGAATACATGGGCCAAATATTTATCTGGTTTTAATGTAATATGTTGAAATGGGTCAAGCCTATCTCCAGCTTAGAAAAAAAGAGTTGATGCTCTAACAACGTAGTCTGTCATGTATTTAGACTTTGGAACATGTTTTTAATATATATCATKCTATAAAATAGTGATTAGGTTGTTGACTTGCACAGAAAAGCTTTTTTAATTTCAAATTTAGCTGAATTATAGTATTTATATTACTAATTTAAGTTCTTAAGTCCTGGAAGATCAGGCTGCTATGAAAAACTAAAAGTGAAGAGTAATATGAGTTCTGATTGATTAACATAATGTGATTGAAGTTGTGAAAGATTCATTGGCATTCAGAGTGAGGTAGGACTTCAGAAATCACCTTGTCCATTCTGTTAATGGTGAGGAAAATTCTAAATAACTATATTATTGGARATAAAGGTCTTTACACTTGCAAGTCCAGTAATCATTCTTTTATATAAGAGACTGAAAGACCATACATACACCTATACATTTTTTTTTTTTTTTAAAGAATTGACAACAAAGATTTAAAATGATTGGTGATGTTTTCCTGGGCAAATTGAAAGGAGCAAGGCAGCATACAGGCAATTTGAGTGTAATGTTGGATTTCCTTCAATCTCCTATATATTGTCTTCAGAACTAATCCTGGCATAACATAATAGAGGGCACCTATTGACCTATTGTTCTTTTTTTTCTTTTCTTTTTTTTTTTTTTTTCTCCAATGGGAGTTGAAGGTTGAACCCAGCAGGGTTTTATCTCTGAATTACATTGTGAGTCCCACCCTCCTTTTTGAAACAAGGTCTCTAAATTGCCTAGTCTGGAGTCCTGGGTAGCTGGGATGTGTACCCCTTCCACCTCTGCCTATTGTTCTTCGTTGCTGAGACTAGCCTTGAATACTGACATTTCTGTTGATGTTCCATTGTTTATCACATAAGCACAATTTTGTTTTCTGTGGATATATATACTTATCACTCAAGTATCATTTAACCAAACTTGGGTCATTTGCTTGAGTATTTGGTCATAGTCTTAAGCCAATTACCATAATTGTTTGGTAATTTCAATATTTTCTACTGGAGTGACCTAAAATATAATATGATTGACTCGGTACATTGCTGCTTGGCCTGTATGCTCATATCATTAGACGGTTAAGAATGAGAAAGCAGACTCTACTGTCCCTCCAGCCCTACTCTCTTTCCCACTCCTGGATACAGGACAAAATCTAATAAAATACTAACTTAAATCTGTTCTTAGTAGCTTTTTTTTCCCTTCATGTCTCTCTCATACTTATAGCCACTCTTAAGTCCCATGTGGTCTCCATGCTTCCTGAATCCCCAGCTACAGCAAAACCATGTTTGTCCCCAAAGGAGCCATGCTACAGATTTCTGCCTGTCAAAGGCTCATCCTATTATATTACCTGGTTGGCAGATATGGATCTTGTGGAAATGGRTCTAGGCTTTATTCATCTTTGGCTCTGAGCACAGAATTTGGCACATACAGGTTCAATAAATGTTTGAATTAAGTTAAAGCAAAATAACAAACTGGCATTGACACAAACATTGGTTCTTAGCTCTGACAAGTATTTGCTGCTTTAAAAAGAGGGTACTTACCCTTTTAAATCTTCAGTTTTTGGAATTTATTATTAAATAAAGATGCTAATGATTCCAGGATAGAGATTTGGAGAAAGTTAGCCATATTGGGACTTGCAGGCTTAGCTCCTAAAATTTCGTATTTTTTACAACCTTTTCTATTTCTGAACCTAAAGAGTATATAAAGCTTCAGCCTTTTGTTCTAGCAGCAAAACAGATTTCTACTTGGAAAAAAAAAAAAATTGACAATTGGATGTTGGGGATGTAGTTCAGAGCATTTGCCTGGCATCAGGAAAGCCCTTGTTTTGATCCCTAACACCACCACCACCAAAAAAAAAAAAATCCTGGGGAGATGTTGGTGTTGAGTATATTGACCATTATAGGCCTAATGGTAGGRAGTGAATATAAAATTATTCAGCTAGGCTTAATGATTATTTCCTACATTTATTCTGTATGTATTTTACAAGGTTTATATTTTTTTAAAAAAATTAGGCAAGAATTTTGCTGGTATAAAAGTAAAGGTGCCATGTCACTTTATTCTGATCCCATGACACTTGTCCCCTCTCCAGTTGGCTTGTTAGGTGATATAATACTGCAGTGCCTTGTCTATCAGGGTCTCTCTAACTTATCTGGAATGCAGTAGAGAACAAAGAATAAGAAAACCCTCTGATATGCTAAGAGGGATCTCAGGAAGGCCAGAATTCCTTTTCTAGCAGTGCCACCAGAGAAGTGTGAAAGACAGGGAACCTAGCAGTGGTGCCTCAACCTACCTGAAGATATAGAAAGCCAGAACTTAAAAAAAGTTTAAAAGCTGATAAATAAGGCATGATTATGTTAGTATGAGATCTATGTGTTCTCTTTGATTTTCAGCTCAAAAATTCGAAATTTAAGTGTTTACAGGAATTTGCAAAATACATAAACAGCAGTTTTGAAATCAATACAGGATTTTTCTTTCCTTCTTAAATTTAGGTCCTTATCATAAAAATATACCACCCTAGAGGAATTATACACACAGGCACACACTCACTGTCATTTTTCCCCCCTCCCTCAGGAAGGCATAGAAGCTGAAAAGAAAGCTATTTCTCTTCTTTCTAAGTTACGAAATGAATTGCAAACAGATAAACCAATCATCCCTTTGGTTGAGAACTATGTTGATACGGACATATGGAATCAGTACCTAGAATATCAACAGAGTCTTTTAAGGGAAAGTGATAGGACACCAAGTTGGTTCTACTCACCGTGGTTGTATGTAGAATGCTACATGTATCGTAGAATTCATGAAGCAATTATCCAGAGGTAAGTGTATAACTATTAAAGAGCAAATGATTAGACAGTTGGTGCTTTTTTTTTTTTTAAGGGTGAAAGATAAGTTTTCAGTATAAACAAGAGATAGCCTGAATTCAGTTGAGTTCAGCAAATATTAATTTGCTGTTGGATATTTCCACAAATTATATCAGTTGAATAGATTCTTAGTAATTTGAATCCACTTGTCCAAAATAGAGATAAGATTGAATCTAATATGAACTTACTAAAGATCCTCATAAAGACTCTATAGAGTAAAACAAATTGTGRTTATTAGCAAAAAAATGTTAATTTGAAATAATTATATAAACAAATCAAGTTGGGATAGAGGAAACAAGCAAATACTTTATTCATAAAAATAGTATTTCAGAGTTTAGAAGGAGTTATCAGAACAGCAAATCCCTCTATTGTCTCACATAGTATCTTAATGTTTAGTCCCGTATTTTGTTTGGGGTTATTATGAAGAATGCAGATACAAACATTCCATCACATTTTTAATTAGAATATGTATTTCTGTTGGGAATATATCTGGGAGTGAATCATAAGCTTACGGTGTGTGCTCATACATATAGCTTCAGTAGATTGTAAAGTAGCAAACATTTCAAAATGAGAACATTTATGTGARGTTAAAATAAGGTTCATTATCAGCTTATGAATGATTTGTTAATAAAACATAAGAACATGTGTTGCCAAAACATTCTTCAGGAGAGCACCAATAATAAGTATTTTGGCTTTTGTGGGCCATATGGTGTCTATTGCCGCTACTCAGCTCTGCCATTGTGTGAAAGTAGCCATAAGCTATATGTAAATAAGTGAGCATGGCTGTGTTGTGGGAAAACTTCATTTATGGACACGGAAATTTGAATTCTACATGTCACAAAATATTGCTTTTCTTTTGCTTTATAATCATTCATAAGTGTGAAAATCATTTTTAGTTTGCCTATTATAGAACAYAGGTGGTGGGCCTGATAGGGTTTGCAAGCTGAGGTTTGCTGACCCTGCATTTGAATATCTGCATCTAAATGATTTTGTTGTTTTAAGTCACCTTGAGAGACTTAACTGATTTCAGCAGTGCTGTCATTGCTAAAAATAGCTTTGTATTCTTTGGATTTTCTTTGAGAGCCAGTTTACAGCTTCAAAAAGAAAAATTAGTTTTATTATTTTTGTCACCCTTTAATAAAGGCCAAAACTGTGTCTATTCAATTTGATTACATATTTTATTATACTGAAATTGYTCTGAGTGATTTTTGGCTGTTTCCAAAAGTAAGGTGACTCCAGGGGAAGACATGTGGTCACAGGACATTTAATGATATGCCACAGGTTCTAAAGAAAATTCCCAAAGTGCTTTGTGCAATGGCAGCATCCTTGGAATAAAGGTATAACTTCCCCTGGTGACTGACTGGCCAGAAGGAGGCAGCCATCATTTGGCTATATAAGTGCTGGTATGTTTTTACCCTAATATGGATGGCTCCTGGGCAAAGTAKCTAATTTAGAACATCAGATCATCAGAATGTCTTTTCCATTCTGTTAAGGCTATTGTGTTAGTATTCGTATCTTCTAAGTTATATTTCTGTCACTGGACAGCATGAAGATGTAGACATCACATAAACGCAGCCTTTGGTAAAAACCTGGGAATAAAATTTGACATGCACACACCAAAAATCTATAAGATGTATAAGTAAATGATCAAAATTTGTCATTCTATAATGCATAGTAAATCTGATTTAATTCCAGTAAAATAGCTGATTTGAGAATCTTTGACAATTAAAATGAGTTTGGGAATTTATTTTTGTGTAACTTGCTTATCTGKGTTATCTAGTATTTGTTACCATTGATTATTGAGACTGGATAATTTCTTCCCTTTAAAGTACTACAATTAACCCAAATTTGTTTTTTAAAAAAGATATGGACTTAATATAAATGTTTCACTTATGTTTTTCTTCTACTTTAGTCCACCAATCAATGACTTTGATGTATTCAAAGAATCCAAAGACCAAAATTTCTTTGAGTCACAGGAACCTGGCATTACTTTATGTACTCACTTGCAAAAGTTCAGGAGTACTATTGAAGACCTAGATGCAAATCAGCTGAAAACTGAGTTTTTTCATCTTCTGCAGGTAAAGATCAGATCCTCTGAATGTGTTTTTTTACTCAGTTCTATAAATACCAATATTGTCAGCTTACACAGTATTTATAGATCAGTACTATATGTATTATGTTAGTAGTTTTTTTAAACTAAATTTTTGTTTGATTGTTTTTCCTTTTGAACTTTCATCCTTGATCTTTTTTAGAATATAAAAATKAGTTTTCTTTGAATATGTTTTTTTGTCCCATAGGTAGAATATATTGTAAAGAAAAATGAGTACTAATCTGTATTCTGCCATCTAATTTGGCCAGCTACTCCAGGCTGTTCCCCAAATAAAGGCAGCCAAAGTTGTCTTCTTTTACTGCCCACAGTGAGCAAAAGGTTAACATCCCAAGAGAAGCCTGAAGTGTTCTAGTTTGCAGGGAATGTTAATCTATTTTTAAAAGTCAGCACTCACGAGGGTCCATGCAAATACTTACAGATCTACTGTGTCAAACACTTCTAGATGCTGTACATTTGGTGATAGGAAAAACAGGCAAATTCTTCCTGTTGTAGAAYTTGTAATCTTGAAAGACTATAGATAAATAATTGCATCAGTAACTGTGTAGGTGAAATGAAGGATGTGGGAAGGAGCTCAACAGAGAACCTGACCTGAGTTGATGAATGAATGCCATTATTTATGCTGTTGTGTGTGWTTCAAACTATATAAAACAGTGGTCTTGGACACTTCCGTTACTATTTAAGCCTTRTAATTTTTTAAAAACTCATTTATTTGTCTTTTTAAGAATAATACTCTTGAGATGGAACATGTATTTTCCTAATTTCATTATCAAGACAGGGTCTTGCTGTGTTGCCCAGGCTGGCCTYGAGCTCCTGTGCTTACWCAGTTCTCCTGCCTCAGTCTCCCAAGTAGCTGGAGCTCAGGYRTGCACCACTATGCCTAACCATATTCCTTATTTTAAATCACAAAGAAAATAGAGTCTGTTTTGGCCAATATTTATTGAGTACTTCTGTATGTACATTATTTATATGCATAATGTCATTAATTCTCACAAAACTCTGTGAGGAAAGTATTATTGCCTAATTATTCAGTTGCACAAGTTGAGCCTTAAGAGTATGTATGTAAGTAACTTGCCAATGATTGTTAATTGAAGATGCTGAGATTTGAACCCAGGTCTAATTCCAGAACTTGCAGTCTTAAACATGTAATTTTATGACTTAAAAAAAATAGGGCTATGTATCATTTTCTACAAAGTAACAACTTGGAATATTAATTCAGCTTTAATCCAAATTATTGATTACAGTGGATCTSTTGTTCATATTGTTATATTTAAAGTTAGGTCTTGCAAAAATCGCTGTGTCCAATTTTTTTTTTTTTTTTTTTACAAAAAAGAGAACCAAATCTCAGGCAGGTTGCCATGTCCTAAAGGTAATGTAATTAGTAAAAGAAACTGGGCTATTTTCCRGAGGACTGGGAGGAAAAAAGAAACTTTGGTTTTTCTTTTGACTCTGAATTACAAAACCTGATCCTCTCCATAACATTTGATGATGTTTTAATATCCTCAACATGCAAAGCCTCRTTCTGAATAAACAGTGTAGGTGCTAAAAATCATTCAAACCAGTGAATTTGTGTGGGGGGATGGGGATTAGTACTAGGGATTGATCTCAGGGGTGCTCTACCACTGAGCTATATTCCCAGCCCTTTTYATTTTTCATTTTGAGATGGTCTAGTTARGTTGGCCAGGCTGGCCTTGAACTTGTGATCCTCCTGCCTCAGCCTTCTGAGTCCAGTAGCTGGGATTACAGGCATGTGCCAGCATACCTGACTCTGAATCCAGTTTTTTACAAGTTTATTACATATTGACTAAAAATTTCACTGTTTCACCTTATTGATAGAACATCATGAARACTTACTTTACATTGAGAAACTATATAGATCTGGTGGAGTTTTTTGGAAATAAAATTTATGAATATTCCTAGCAACCCCTCCCTTCACTGCCTACATAACAGAGTTTTGTTGGTTGTTAAAACAAGGATGACTGTTTTGTACTTTTCTTTTTCAGATTTCACTCTGGGGAAATAAGTGCGATTTATCTCTATCAGGTGGAGAAARTAGTTCTCAGAAGACTAACCTAATAAATTCTTTGGAAGATCTAGAACCTTTTATTTTAGTGAATGATATGGAACATCTTTGGTCATTGCTTAGTAAATGCAAGGAAACAAGAGAARAAGTGCCCATAGTTAGAGTGGATATTGTTCTGGATAATTCTGGGTTTGAACTTCTTACAGATTTAGTATTAGCTGACTTTTTGTTATCCACTAACCTGGCTTCTGAGATTCATTTTTATGGAAAATGTATTCCATGGTTTGTTTCTGATACTACTATACGTGACTTTAATTGGCTTATTGAACAAGTAAAACATTATGATCATAAGTGGGTATCCAAGTGTGGGGTTGACTGGGAAAACTATATTAAAATGGGTAGATGGGTTTACCATGATCATATGTTTTGGACTTTGCCTCACGAATATTCGGCTATGTCCCAGGTTGCCCCTGATTTGTATGCTGAACTACAAAAGGCATGTTTAATTTTATTCAAGGGTGATTTGAATTATAGGAAGTTGACAGGTGATAGAAAATGGGCGTTTACTGTTCCCTTCCATCAGGCTCTGAGTGGCTTCCATCCTGCCCCTCTCTGCAGCCTGAGAACATTAAAAGCTGAAATTCAGGTTGGTCTGCAGCCTGGGCAAGGTGAACAGCTCGCAGCTTCKGATCCCAACTGGCTGATCACTGGGAAGTACGGAGTGATTCAGTTTGATGGTCCACTCTGACMCAGCCTAGAACTCCCAGGCAAGTAGGAGGATCTGAGAAGCACCTTTTCATCTCCAGAAAAGCAGTGTGTGAATCTAGTCCCTTGGCTGCTCTGCATCTGCTCTGGGATGCTTGCTCGGCCTTCTTGTCACCTTACTCTCCGGATGAATTTTCCTTGGAACCTTGCACCGCACTACAGTATTTTGGGAATATATGTTTTTACATARATTACACTTATATTTACAAACATATACACTTTTGTTGGAATTTCAGTAACTATTTCAAGTTTTTTTTTAATTGGGTAGAAAGCAAGGTATAAGTGAATTCTGCCTTTTAAGTTAAATATTTTTTCTTAAAACGGTATGCTGCATGGTGTTTAATAACCTAGGCAACATGGAATTTTATTTAATTTTGGGCTCTTGAAGTAATGGCTTTGTGAAAATATTCATTTGAATGACTTTGTGAAAAGAGGTAGTTTTTATACCTGTGATGCTTGAACACAAAAGTAAAATTTACCTCATAAGTTAATTTTAACTTTTGTTCTCCTTGAATTTTATTTCAGTAGCTTATTTTATTTGCATGCAGTTGTATTTTTTATTAACTTGTGGAATGGATGTTAGGAAACGTAAAATTGGACACATGAAACAAATGGTATTTAAAGAAATATAATCTCTTATATTCTATTTATGATATGCATAATCAACTGAAATTATTATTTTATCACACAAGTGTTTTAAGTGAACATATTTTTTGATTGTAGTTTTAGAAAAATGTTTTAGATGGAAAAGAATTTCTATGCATTGAATTTGGATACTACAATAATGAATTCATTTTTATATTCTACATTTTATTGGTCATTGCAGATATTAAAAACTAAATATTCATGTCAATTTGTTTTAAATGGAAATGTYTTTCTGCACTGGAATAATAAAAGGAATAGTACTTAAAACTTTTTGTGGTTTTATTTTCTACTGGGGAAAAAATAAGGAGAAAATTCAAAATGAGATCTGTATAATAAACTCATAATATATATCATATATGTTGCCCAAAGTAGCTTTCAAATAGTGTAACTTGTAAATGAGGTTATAATCTATGTTCCTAAGTGCTTAAATTTTTTAAAAATTTACAATCACATTTTGAATTTACTATTATCTGCATGTGTTTTATTTTTATTTATTTTATWTATTTTTATTTTTTTAGAGAGAACTTCAATATTTATTTTTCAGTTTTCAGCAGACACAACATCTTTGTTTGTATGTGGTGCTGAGGATCGAACCTGGGCCATACGTATGCCAGGCGAGCATGCTACCGCTTGAGCCACATCCCCAGCCCTCTGCATGTGTTTTAAACATTGTTACCAGAGTGCTTACCACATTTGAATTCTTTGTAGACAATAAATTTAGAACACAGTTGACTTCATAGGGTGAGCAATTATATATATATATATATTTTTTTTTTCATTCTATTTTTTATCATGTAGTTTGCTAAGAACATGACCTTAAGGTGTATGGGGAAGTTGTTTACCCTCCAACCTCTCTCCCCAAAAGGGCAAAGAACAAGAAAGAATGGCACTGTAGAAGAGGAAGTCAATTCAATGGGATTTTTAGTAGGCACAATGGTGCACTCCTGTAATCCCAACAGCTCAGGAGGTTGAGGCAGGAGGATTGCAAGTTCAAAGCCAGCCTCAGCAACGKAGTGAGATCCTAAGCAACTTAGTGAGACCTGACTCAAAAGATAACAAGGGTTGGAGATGTGGCTCAGTGATAAAAGCACCTCTGGGTTCATCTCTCGTCCATTTAAAGAGTATTATTGTTTTTGATTCTAGGCAGCCTGCTGGGTATGATGCAGTATTTCATTGTTTTGACTTGTCTCTAGGTACTTTACTCATTTAAAAGTTAGATAATCTTTTCACTGTTGAATTGTAAGATTTAAAAATATGTTCTGTGGACATCTCATTGTATATGTAAATATTTTCTCCCATTCTGTGGGTTGTCTTCACTTTTTAAATGATATATTTGCATCAAAAAATTATTACATTTTGGCAAATCTTTTTAATATTTTTTTCTTTTGTCACAAAATACTGTCTGATGGGTTTTGGTTTCTTTTTCTTTTTTCTTTTTTTTTTTTTAGCATTACTGGGGATTGAACCCAGGGCCTTGGGCATACTAGGGTAGCTCTCTACCAATGAGCCTCACCCACGCTTACAACACTGTTTTTTGAACTGCTTAAAATTCCCTCACGGTCACTGAATTGAGGAGCTGAGGGCAATGGATAGGGTTCTGCCCACAGTTCCCAGACTTGCCCAACACCACTGTTTCCGCCTGAGCAAATATAACCCACATCTGTCTGACATAGGTACATAGTAGCTTGCTGAGGAAATCTGAGGTTAAAATCAGATGTGAGAGGGTGTTCCACTGAAGAGTTGAGGGATCTTGGGAAGAACTCCCCAAAATAGTATCAATTGTTCTAATAGCCAAGGATATCACACTTGGTTATGAAAGAAGTAAATTCAACTTATAAATTTCATGCAATTCCTTTATATCMGACAGATCCAATATCCTAAGCATGTGAGGATGGGAATGTGGACTGAGGGYATGTAAATAATTAGAGGGTGGTGTTCTTATTAAATAGCAAATCAACAAGACTTATTAACATGATCTAGCTTTTCTAATTTGAGGCAATGTTTTGTGTTTGAGAAAAATGCAACAATGATGTATGAAGTCAATTCCTGTTGTTCAATCTCAAGGTCATGTTTCCATAAAAGAAATACAAAGAAATATGACCCATCCTCAAAAAGCAAAGTCAACATTTACTTGAATTTTCAGAAAACCCAGGGTGAAATGAAAACACAATTATTAAMCCCCCCTCCTACCCGTTTGATTCTCCTAACAGTTCTCTCTGCCCAAACCTCAGCTAAACCTTATGCCAAAACCTCTCTTTACATAAGACTTTTCCCTCCACTCTCTTTTTTTGCTAGCTTAGAAGTGAGAAAGACTTTGAAAACTTCTATACATGCATGCCATGGCCTAGACAAAGTGCCGATGTCATGTTGGACACAGCAAGCAACAGGTGATACCTTGAAATCGTAGCAAGTGAATGAACCAGAGGAAAAGAACAGAAAAACAAGAACATAATGCCCCTACCTCCAGATACGCCGATGAGATTTTGATGTAAACATTTCACAATTTTTCTATAAGGACAGACATAGTATTTAAAAATATATATATTTCTAAGAAAAAATAGCAGGGTTATACCTTTAATTGTTTTTAATTTCTGAAGTATCTTTTCCAACTCCTGACTCTRTTTGGTTTTGCTATCATTTGACTTTGAATTTTTTTTCTAATTTACTAACCAATTCTTCCTAGAGAGAAGGGTTTTTTTGTTTGCTTTCTTCTCCCTTGAGTAGCAGCATGACATGGGACTCGTAAACATTTGACTCCTGATCCCCAGTTGTCTTAGTTTGTTTGCGCTGTTACAACTAAATACCYGAGATTGGGTAGTTTTAAAATCACAGAAATTTATTTCTCACAATCTGGGGGGCTTAAAGTTCAATATCAAGGTGCCAGCAGTTTCCTTGTTTATGGAGGGCCCAGTCTCAGTTTCCAAGATGCTACCTTGTTACTCCATCTCTGGAAGGGAGGGTAGGGACACCAAGTCCCCAGGTGGCTGAAGTTGGAAGGGCAAGTGAGAGGAACTCTGTGGGAAGCCTCCTGTGAGTGCCTTGATCCCGTTCACGAGAGGAGGAGCCCTCATAATTTAACCACCTCTAAAAGGCCTCATCTCTATACCATGGCACTGGCCATTAAGTTTTAACACTGAATTTTGAAGGGGACACATTTAAACAAGAACACCAGCTATGARCTGTGTGACCCAAGTTCCATTCTCACAGGTAGGTCTCACAGATTTACTCTCTGGTCCGCATGGACCAGATTTCAATCTCAAAGCCAGATTATCCTAAGGAAACTGGATATTAGCATGCTGGCCTCCCCTCGTGGCCCCTTGAATAGTCCCTGAACCTGACCTTTCCTCTGGGAACTAGACAGGGAAATACTGCTGCTTATGGGCGGGGAGCATACCCTGAGCTGTCGCAGAAGGCCACCGTTCAGGTTGTCCCCTTACTTCCTGCTTTTCATTGCAGCACCAAATTTCTCTGTCCAGTTTATTTAATATCACTTCACCTCATTTTCAAACCTTTTAGAAAATAAGGAAAAATTAGCTCCCACGGAAGACACTTCTAATAACCCTGTAGTTGTATTTTCCTTGGGGCAGCCACCACAGGTCTCTTTGGTGTGTCTGCCCTGCCCATTATTGTGCGGAGTAGATGCTCAATGAATGAGTGACTGATAGGCGATGAATTTCAGCATTTGAAATCATTCTTGAGACYGCTGAGATGCTACTTAAGTTGAGGTCTGAAGAATGAATTGCTCTGGTAGAAAGCCTGACATAAATTAGCAGACTTGTTGACTGAAAAACGGTAAAAATATATATGTAAATAATATAATTGGGAGGTTTCAATAAATATGTGCATCTTTGAGCACTACCTATTCCTTCAATATTATATGACAATCAATTTCCCATTAAAAATCCTTCAAAAAGTTGTTTTTGTTTTTGTTTTTGTTTTTTTTTTGTACTGGATTGTACCCAGGGGCACTTTACCACTGAGCTACATCCCAGCCCTTTGAATTTTTAAATTTTGAGACAGGGTCTCGCTAAGTCCCTTAAGGCCTCACTAAGTTGCTGAGGCTGGCCTTGAACTTTCAATCTTCCTGCCTCAGCCTCCTGAGACACTGAGATTAGTATGTGCCACCAGGCCTAGAAAAAAAAATGTCATTTAAGAAAAATTGTACATATATTTAATCATGTGGCTATATCATGTTTTCTTTTAGTACATACACTATACAGATTATTTAGGATTTTTGCCATTTAAAAAAAAAAGCTGAAATGAATATCTTCAAACTTTTCTTTTTCTTTTTTTTTTTCTCCCCTATGATGGTGTCCATGTTGCTGGGTTGTTCTTAAACCCCTGCACTAAAGCAATTCTCCTACCTCAGCCTCCAGGGCAAGAGTACACAGGCCTGTTCTGCTGTGCCTGGCTTCAGACAGGTTTTTTTTTTTTTTTTTTTTTTTTTTTTTTTTTGTTGCAGATGGACACAATACCTTCTCTCTCTCTCTCTCTCTCTCTCTCTCTAGTGTGGTGCTGAGGATCAAACCTAGTGCTCATCTGTGCAAAGCAAGCGTACTCTCTACCCCTGAGCCACAACCCCAGCCCCTTCAGATGACTTTTTTTTTGCTGCAAAATTCCTGAGTCTTCAGGAACTGTTCATAATCTGAAACCACTCACCCATTCTAGGCCTCCTGAAATAGTGTTTGCATTACACTTAAAAGGTCCAAATTCTCAACATTGAGTAATTGCTTATCCTAGGAAGGACCTTGCTTTTTTCTCTTTTTCCCTTT